TTCGTGAGGGTGGAGCACACTAACAGTTGGGTCCGTTGGTCACACATCCAAACGCGACGACAGCCTGTTGACTCAATGGAGGGGAGTAGATGTCTGTCTCGTCACATGCTCTGGCCAGCACACGTTACCTCACCCGGTGGCTCTGATTGGCTAACAAATTCCCGCCACCGGACGAGCCATACCGTGCTGACCGTTAACGACCTCCATGGTTGTTAACCTCGTTCTTCCTGTAATAATGAACATATGACTTAAATAATCGTGCCTTTATGCGATGACATAACACGATACGATATATCGTAACAAAAGTCGGTATCAGCCACGATCTCCTATGATGCTCTCATTGCAAAATACTCAGTTATTTATTTCATCGTCGTTACCCACTGCACTGTGCCTTAAATATGATAACCCCTTGGTGTGCAGGAAAAATGATTTCCCAAATTTGTTTTTTAATTCCAAAATTTTAAATTCCCTCCCCGATCACAAATACATTACTGTATGATGAAATGAATGCTAACAAATACTTTGGCCACAGTGGTGTCGACAAAATGGGGTGTGACATCGTAACATTCCATTTCCTGTCCGAATACCATGGGACTTGTTTAAAATGTGCGACAGCTTCTGCCCATTTTCCGTATACCCCACGTGACATCCTAACCCCGCCGTGTGGGCTGGAGGCTCACTATTCTCATGACCTGGCTTGTGACTGCTGCGGCCTCCCCTTGAGTCGAAAAGTTTCCCCATTCGGGTTATTTTATCTCTGGTATTTGTTGTTACTGGCTTTATAAATACTGCAGATTGTTCTTGATCAGTATCCATCTATAAGCCAGAGCCAGTCCATGATAAAGAGTGAAAGAGACACGTATGACGGAAAGTAATCGAGTTATGGTCAAAAGTATAGAAAAGTGAGATTTGTATGTTCTTATATGCAAATATTCCTTTGTAGCATTATATTGCAAACAATTTGATATCAAATTAAACTACGTAGGACGAAAATTGAGGTCAGAAAGCTAAAAAAAAAGAGTATAAACATTTTTGTGTGGTGGTGAACTCTCTGCCTACCTTGCAGTGTGCGGCAGGTCCAAAGTATAGGAAAGTGAGACTTGTATGTTCCTATATCACATGTTCTTTTAGAGCATTCTATTGCGAACAATGTGATACCAAATTGAACGACGTAGCACAAAAATCAAGATAAAAAAAGCTAGAGAGTATAAACATTTGTGGGTGGTGGTGAGTTAGTGTTCACCGTGCGGCTTGCCTTGAAGTGCGTGGCGGGTCGCCCACTGGGGCAGGGAAGGTGTTAAGGGGCTGGGCTCACAATTTATCAGCCTTCCTCAAACACTCAAATTTGTTGTGCATAATCTACATGGTAAATGCTCAAACTTTTCCTAATGGATCAACATCATAACATGAACAGAAAATAAAATAATAAACAAAAAATGAAAAGTTTCACAATTTCAATTTACAGTATCATTTAAAATGTCACCAATTTAATTATTATTATTATTATTATTATTATAATTATTATGGGCTCAGAATGGCGCATAATGTTCATTTTCGTCAAGATTTAGGTTGATAGTACGTATAGTTTACTGTAAAAAAAAAAAAAAAGTGTGACCTCCAAAAAATGTGCAAAATTTAGACTCAGAGGTATAACTCAAAGTTATGGGTTTATGAATAAATGCTCTCATGGAAACCCTAGAACTAAGACCTTTGCACACATGAGAAAATGGTGATAATCGCTCAAACTGAATTTTTTTTATTTTGGCCTCGAAGTTGAAAATCCTGTTCATACAGAAAAATGAAGGTAAACTTGACAATAAATATAGTGGTTCAAATTAACACTTTCGCGCACACTGCGTTCTGAAAAAAACTTACCGTATGTGCTTTCGGCGTTTCGCGCGCCTACGCGGTAAGACCGAAAAAGTGTACACTCTTTTGACTGTCCTGACAATAATTGAAGGCGCACGTATTTAAATTTGGTATCACTGTGTTCGCAATAAAATTGTCTATAAGAACATACCTATAAAATGCCGCCAAAGCATAAGGACTATCAACACCAAATAAAAAACTATTCAGATCACTCGCCGAGAGCGCCAAACAGCAACAAAATGTTTCCACTCTCTTAATGGTTGCGAAGCCTACAGTTGTCCTACATCGCTAATTGTGGTATCATTGGAATCGCAATAAAATTCTCTACACGGACATATGCACATACATATAGATTCAATGTTGTAGCCCACCCAAAACAGTGTGGGAAGTGGCCGAAGTGTTACCCGCGGCGGCATATCGGCGAAACTCGCTTTGAAAAGTGTATATTCAATTCACTGTCCTGACATTATTTTTCGATGTATGTATTTCATTTTTGTTCCAATGTGTTCACAATAGAATGTTCTATAAGAACATAAGTATTAAAGGTCACATAAGGATGCGTTCGACCGGCAACATATATAAAAACTACGTCGATTATACTTGTCGTGTCAATACTGTACTACAATTGTTTTACCACGATGATTCACTGCCACGCCGTTCTCTTTAATAAGCTGTTCGGCTATTAGAAAAAACGTAAATTTCATGGCAAACATTTGTAAACTATTCCCAAGTTGATCGGATAATAAATGGAATTTATACAAATATTTTTTCGCCGGACTACACGCGTAGTCTGTTATGCGAAAACGTAAGAAAATTTGGTGACGACCTAGAAATCCTCAAATGCGTGAAAGTGTTAATGTCATATCTTGTAGGTTTTAACACTTTCGCGTTCCACAGACTGAATAGCTCGTCACTCATTTTTCTACTGAATGTGTTCCAACGACGCAATACTGAGTCACTCATTAAAACATTTTTTAAAAATTTAAATTTTATCAGATCAATCTGGTAGTGGTTTTAAAATAAGCGCCTTTAGATTGCACACAATTTGATACCAAAATCAAAGATATAACATGAAACTTGATGTCCAAACACTTGAAATATTATAAATAGGCCTATGGTCCGAATATTAAAATATATGTTAAAATTCTATTTATTGTCCTATTATCTTGGGACTAGTTTTAAAATGCGCGCCTTTTTATTGCGAACAATTTGATACCAAAATGAAAGATGTAACACAAATATTTATGTCAGAACACTGGAAAGGTATAAATAAATTTGTGATGATGAGCGTCCAGAATTACAATATTTGTTAAAAATCCAGTTATTGCTCTATTATTCTGGGACTAGTTTTAAAATAATCGCCTTTTTATTGCGAACAATTTGATACCAAAATGAGCGACGTAGCACGAAAGTTGATGTTATCAAATTGAACGAGTTGAACATTAGGTTGCAATGTACAAAATGGTGCTCGTTCACGGGTAACTTCAGGCTTTTCTGCGGGGAGGCACTCCAGCCTTTTGTACATTTTATTCATACACATCTATAGGGAATTTAATTGCGAACACAATGATACCAAAACGAGCAACGTAGCACGAGAATTAAGGTAAAAAAATGGAACGAGAATGCACATGTTACTGATTTTGTGCGTTTTTGCCGACTTTACACTTTGCTGTTGGGAGTCACGCTAGGCTTTTGGACATTATATTTATACACACCTGTAGAGAATTTAATTGCGAACACAATGATACCAAAACGAGCGACGTAGCACGAGAATTAAGGTGAGAAAGCTGGAATGAGTATACACATTTGGGTGTCACCGCGCGCTTACCCGCACGGAGGGGCCACTATCCCCCTGTCAACCGCGAGTTTCCACGGAGCGCGAAAGTGTTAATTAATATTGCTTGGCATTCGTTCTTGAATATGTGAAAGTTGTAGGCCGATATGTTTTGAAATAAAGTCAAGAAAATATCCCCCACCCCCACCCCCCAAAAATAAATATACAGTGATAAGGATAATGGGTTTGGGGATATATAAGTATACTTCATATAAGTGATAAAGCCCTCATCTGGGCCCCATTCAGCAAAAACAACCTATAGAGAGAAAGAAAATACTGTAGTTTGAAAACTGAATAACTCGGCCCCAAAAAATTAGTAAAGTTCTGCCACCTGTGGCTGATTTATGTGTTGACCAATTTTGTTCCAACTTCACATACTTAGTGACGGGTATGCATTCCCCACAATGTAGAAGCCACAACAAAATCAGATGAGAAACAAAGGAGCAATAAAAACAAAAATAATCCCTCCCCCCCTCCCCCAAAATGGTAGACATAAGAAATATTGGCATTGGGCAACGTATTTATAAGATATATAATAATATACAGCAACATAATACTTAATTTTGCCCTCCAGGTGGCAATCAGCCATCTTAGAAGGCACCAACTGCATATCCACTTTGTGGACCTTCCTTATTACTACTCTTTGTGCTTCAGACAGGTGCTTGCATCTCTATCACTGCATTATCCATGAGTTCCACTAACTGGGTGTTGTTGTTATCATCAGTACTGGTTGTGTACTTTTTTTAACCCTATAAAATTCATTTTCAACATATTGGGATAAAAATTTCACAATGCTGATGCCATATAACATGAGTTTTTAAGTTTTCACTATACTGTACTGTGTTTTATATTTGGATGACTATTTCTGTGCCACCTGACCTCTTTAGAGAGGGAGTACTTTGGTCAGTGCTATGCAGTTGAGTAGAATATCTCTTGTTAGGCCATTTTCATAATTTTCTGGGTCAAATGAATCTATAATTACTATCTCACCTTATTAACATAAGAATTGATAAAAAGGCCTGGATTCTAGGAATTTAGTAATGTTGGTGAGTAGAAATGCCTGAAGCTTCCATATGGTCCATTCTAGCCCCAATTATTAGCTCAATTTGGGATTTTCTTTGGACTTTTCCGGACACGTGGCAATAACAATTGGTAAGGATAATCAGGAAAGCCTCCACAAAATAAATTCAAAATTAACAATGATAAGAATTGAGAGAATATTATTCAATATACAGTACTTGGTAACCAAATTAGATTAAAAAGGGAAACTGAGTTTTGCGATCTCTATTTTAACTAGGAGATGATGGCAGTGAGGTGAGTGAGTCATCAGTAGATACAGGTATTGACGCATCTGTAATTCCACGACCAGATGAGAGAGAATATCAGCGTGAAATCCTCCAGCTTGATGATGAATCGCTTCAAACTTTACGAGACTCCTTAACCAAATCGGTGCCATCGGCGCCTGTTGGGCAGTCGTCAGGTGCTCTACCATCTCTAGAAGAAACTCGGAAAAGACCACGGGACTTTGAGCCAGGTGAGTGGTATAGCAATTTACTGACAACTCTTGGTCTTTTTTTATAAACTTGAATAGACACATTTAGTGTAATTAAAGGTTCTCTGGGTTCCAGATAAATTTGTTATTTTGGTGGGCAATAAAAGTGGGAGGAAATGGATGCGGAATCTGATCAAATGTTTAATGTAAATGGCACAAATAAGGAGGGGAAAAATGAGGAGTTTGAAATGAACTGTGCCAGATATAATCTACCAAGATCGCTGGGTCACCTGAGCAAAGGCCAGCCTTAAACAAGAAGGAAAATTATATTGATTCAAGAATTTGAGGTACTAGTATATGCAAGATGTAGAGTGCAGTATTGAAGAACTTAATATGTTGGCTAGATGTTACCATAATTGGTTGTTACAAGAGCTACTTTAGTGATGACTGGTAAAACGTTCCATGGGAGAATGTGTAGGTTCGACAAACAAACCATTTCACGGAGAATCTCAGTTGGTATATGACTGGATAGAAAACATCTTAAATGAATTTGACTGACACAACAGGTGCTCTTACACTGCAACAACTTAGTCATTTGGGATCAAAATATAATGAAGATGCTCTTGACCCAATATCTCTAAACAGTATGATAATGGAATGACACACTAAGCAGATTCAATGCACATCAAGAAATTGTTATCAGCATTTGAAATAGTTTGTAATGAATGCTGTGTTGTCACATTTAGTGAGAGATTAAGCTCATAGGGAATTAAAGAACATTACTAGTGGTTGCTCACCCTCCCTCAGCTTCTGACTTCTAGACCACGGCACTGCTGCACTTATGTCCAGTGTCAGCAACTCTTGATTTCTTGTCCGTCATCTTTCGGACACATTGTAATAACGGACCAGGACTGCTTGAAGGAAAAGTCCTCAGATACTCTTCCTAAATAGCCCAACACTGCTCTAACTCGTGAGTGAGACCACCTTATGGGGCTCAGTTCAGTTGAGGGCTTTTAACCCCAACACTCCATACCTATTTTGTTACAACTCTGTCATGTACATAACAAAAATTGCATAAAATTTTTATTTTCCTTTTTAATATTAAATTGCATTCCCTGATCAAGGGAAACAAAAAATAATGTATGTAGTTTTGGTTTTGGTGGAGAGGAAAATCGTGATGCCACTGATTGAAGATTGATGTGCCCCTATTGACTTGTATTACAGTATTTAAAATTGACTTTATATTTACTTTATTTCCAAATTCTGGTTTAACAATTCTCTTGGAGCTGATCACCTAGTTTATTAACGTCTTTTCTCAAGTATGGTGATCAAAGTTATGTGCAATATTTTAGTATAGCATATAATAGGAAATTGTAGAGACTGAGCATGACTTTTCTCCCACCAAAAGTGTTAAACTCTTTTAATGAATCCTAATAATTTGTTGGCAGTGTTTGCCTCCTCAGTGCTCTGCTCACATGGCTTTAGATCATTAGCTACTATCACTCCCAAATCCCTCTTTCTATATACAGTACTTTCATCAACTGTTGTTTATGCAATAGCTTTCTTTTTCAGTTATTTTTATTAATCAGTGTAGTGGGATGGCAATTACCATTAGCAGTAATGGAAGCTACACAGGTGATAGTGAGAAAAATAATGAGAAGGCTCATCTCAGGGCTGAAATGGACTTAATCCTTTAGGGTAGTGCTTCACGTGAAATCCAGATTGATGCGTATGTTTGGTAACTTTGGTGAATAACACAGGAGCAACATCCTGGAAATTTACCGCTTCATTATTTTGGTGCTTGCAGTCAATAGAATGGTTCAGATTACACTCTGTCATGGGGATGCTCGATCATTGGAATATGAGGACAGATATGCCAGCTGGTATATTGAGGATAGTGAGTTGCTCCTCTAGTGCTGTGCCAGAATGCAGGGGCACAAGTATTGATGCATACAGTGACCAGGCCGGGACACAGGTCCCCCTGTCTTCAAGGTACTTGTTACACACCTGGGAACAACTTGCTGGACCACTGCTGCCAGGGGTCCAACCAGTTACTATTGCACTTTCATCCTGACCACAGCTTCCACTCCCTGCAGGCTCTCTGAATAAGGCTTCTCTCTACATCACTATACTAAGGTGTTTTAAGTCAGGTTGTGATGTGTTGCTCAATTGATGTACCTTTGTTCTAGTTAAGTATTAAGAAAGTTTAATCATTTAGTGTAAGCAGGGGGGGTTGCCACCCTATTTTACCCCTTGGCATAGCTAGGTACTCGCGAGTATTAAATAAAAGATTAGAAAAAGCTGTAGTTGTCCAGTTTCTTGTTGGTACAATTGTATATTATTTTCTTTTCTTTGGATTTTCTTTACTTCCCTATTCCTGCAACATTATTTGATCTTCCCCACAAATGTAAGTTGGAAATGGAGTAAAACATTAAGACACAGTAATTCAAAATTGGTAATCTTGAGAAAACATTGTAGTAGAGTCTGGTATATATCCTCAAATGGCCTTTGCACAGTTCATTCATAATTGTGTTTTCTTGATTCAGATCATACGAGTGTTCGTGCTGAAGGCAGTATTAGCAGTAAATCCCTTTTTAGCGAGTCCTCGGATGTTATTCTTGGACAACCACAACCTTCAGGAGTTGCAAGCAAAAGACCTCGCTTTAATGCATCTTTATATGGCTCAATTTGTCTGGTAAGCATTTCTGTGAAGTTTCTTTAATTAGATATTCTCGGTGGGGATACTTGGTGGATTTTCAGGAATTGATTATGTACATTTGCAGTGTCTGTGCCATATCTAGGAATGGCTAATCATATTGACTTGAGACTTTCAAGACTTGTGTTCAGTTAGGCATAGAAAATGTAAGAATTAACAGTGCCCAATTTTGGAATAAACCTACTTTTGTATTATGATACTAGTTGGTGAAATTATCATAACTGGATTCCAGGAAGGTGCCAGTGTACAATAATGACATTTAGTGGATTTAAATAAATATTTTGTATCATTAAAATGATACAAATTGATAAATTTTTCATAAAATTAATAATTATAGCATTTTGTCCTGGGAAAGTAGCCAAGAATATAAGAATTCATAGTTGACTGAATATTGTATTGCTATTGTGGATAAGTTTTAATATGTTTCAGGGAGAAAAATCCGTTTTAAGTGATTCATCATTCAAGTCGTCGCCTTTCTACCCGGGTAAAACAATGTATGGCGGAGCATCAGCATATAGGAGAAGTAGACTACAACCCCGGACCCCAAGTCAGGTGTGTATAACTTTAGAGATGCAGTTGTAATATTGATTACCAATAATGTCTAGTAATGAAGTGTTCTACAAGGGGATTAAAAAGATTCGGGCTAAGGACTCCTTGTGATAACCCATCATTGTGCAACTGTTGGATTGGGGGGTCTCTCTCCTCCATCTTATCTCCCCCCCTGATCTTTTTCCCCTTCTCCCCTCTCCCCTCCAACTCCCCCTCTCTACCTTCACTCCCACCTCCTGGGGGGGGGGGGGGGGGGAGTGTCCTGTGGCACACGGGCATCTCTTCCCCACAACCACTCTCCCCTCTCTTCCCACCCCCAAGATTCCCCCCTCTCCCCACCCCCAAGATCCCCCTCTCTCTTCCCACCCCCAAGATCCCCCCCTCTCTTCCCACCCCCAAGATCCCCCCCTCTCTTCCCACCCCCAAGATCCCCCCCCTCTCTTCCCACCCCCAAGATCCCCCCCTCTCTTCCCACCCCCAAGATCCCCCCCCTCTTCCCACCCCCAAGATCCCCCCTCTCTTCCTACCCCCAAGATCCCCCCCCTCTCTTCCCACCCCCAAGATCCCCCCCCTCTCTCCCCACCCCCCAAGATCCCCCCCCCCAAGATCCCCCCCCCAAGATCCCCCCCCCCAAGATCCCCCCCCCCCAAGATCCCCCCCCCCCTCTCTTCCCACCCCCCAAGATCCCCCCCTCTCTTCCCACCCCCCCAAGATCCCCCCCTCTCTTCCCACCCCCCAAGATCCCCCCCTCTCTCTTCCCACCCCCCAAGATCCCCCCCTCTCTTCCCACCCCCCAAGATCCCCCCTCTCTTCCCACCCCCCAAGATCCCCCCTCTCTTCCCACCCCCCAAGATCCCCCCCTCTTCCCACCCCCCAAGATCCCCCCCCTCTCTTCCCACCCCCCAAGATCCCCCCCCTCTCTTCCCACCCCCCAAGATCCCCCCCTCTCTTCCCACCCCCCAAGATCCCCCCCTCTCTTCCCACCCCCAAGATCCCCACCCCCATGATCCCCACCCCTAAGATCCCCCCTCTCTTCCCACCCCCAAGATCCCCCCCTCTCTTCCCAACCTTAAGATCCCCCCCTCTCTCCCCACCCCCCAAGATCCCCCCCTCTCTCTCTTCCCACCCCCCAAGATCCCCCCCTCTCTCTCTTCCCACCCCCCAAGATCCCCCCTCTCTCTCTTCCCACCCCCCAAGATCCCCCCCCAAGATCCCCCCCTCTCTCTCTTCCCACCCCCCAAGATCCCCCCCCTCTCTCTCTTCCCACCCCCCAAGATCCCCCCCTCTCTCTCTTCCCACCCCCCAAGATCCCCCCTCTCTCTCTTCCCACCCCCCAAGATCCCCCCTCTCTTCCCACCCCCCAAGATCCCCCCCTCTCTTCCCACCCCCCAAGATCCCCCCCTCTCTTCCCACTCCCCAAGATCCCCCCCCTCTCTTCCCACCCCCCAAGATCCCCCCCTCTCTTCCCACCCCCCAAGATCCCCCCCCTCTCTTCCCACCCCAAGATCCCCACCCCAAGATCCCCACCCCCAAGATCCCCCCTCTCTTCCCATCCCCCCAAGATCCACCCCCAAGATCCCCCTCTCTCTTCCCACCCCAAGATCCCCCCCTCTCTTCCCACCCCCAAGATCCCCACCCCCAAGATCCCCCCCTCTCTTCCCACCCCCAATATCCCCCCTCTCTTCCCATCCCCCCCTCTCTTCCCACCCCCAATATCCCCCCTCTTTTCCCATCCCCCCAAGATCCCCCCTCTCTTCCCATCCCCCCAAGATCCCCCCCTCTCTTCCCATCCCCCCCTCTCTTCCCATCCCCCCAAGATCCCCCCCTCTCTTCCCATCCCCCCCTCTCTTCCCATCCCCCCAAGATCCCCCCCTCTCTTCCCATCCCCCCAAGATCCCCCCCTCTCTCTCTTCCCACCCCCCAAGATCCCCCCCTCTCTCTCTTCCCACCCCCCAAGATCCCCCCTCTCTCTCTTCCCACCCCCCAAGATCCCCCCCTCTCTCTCTTCCCACCCCCCAAGATCCCCCCTCTCTTCCCACCCCCCAAGATCCCCCCCTCTCTTCCCACCCCCCAAGATCCCCCCCTCTCTTCCCACTCCCCAAGATCCCCCCCCTCTCTTCCCACCCCCCAAGATCCCCCCCTCTCTTCCCACCCCCCAAGATCCCCCCCCTCTCTTCCCACCCCAAGATCCCCACCCCAAGATCCCCACCCCAAGATCCCCACCCCAAGATCCCCACCCCCAAGATCCCCCCTCTCTTCCCATCCCCCCAAGATCCACCCCCAAGATCCCCCCCTCTCTTCCCACCCCAAGATCCCCCCCTCTCTTCCCACCCCCAAGATCCCCACCCCCAAGATCCCCCCCTCTCTTCCCACCCCCAATATCCCCCCTCTCTTCCCATCCCCCCCTCTCTTCCCACCCCCAATATCCCCCTTCTTTTCCCATCCCCCCAAGATCCCCCCTCTCTTCCCATCCCCCCAAGATCCCCCCCTCTCTTCCCATCCCCCCAAGATCCCCCCCTCTCTTCCCATCCCCCCAAGATCCCCCCCTCTCTTCCCATCCCCCCAAGATCCCCCTCTCTCTTCCCATCCCCCCAAGATCCCCCCCTCTCTTCCCATTCCCCCAAGATCCCCCCCTCTCCCCACCCCCCAAGATCCCCCCCCTCTCCCCACCCCCCAAGATCCCCCCCCTCTCCCCACCCCCCAAGATCCCCCCCCTCTCTCCCCACCCCCCAAGATCCCCCCCTCTCTTCCCACCCCCCAAGATCCCCCCCTCTCTTCCCACCCCCCAAGATCCCCCCCTCTCTTCCCACCCCCCAAGATCCCCCCCTCTCTTCCCACCCCCCAAGATCCCCCCCTCTCTTCCCACCCCCAAGATCCCCCCCCTCTTCCCACCCCCAAGATCCCCCCCTCTCTTCCCACCCCCAAGATCCCCCCCTCTCTTCCCACCCCCAAGATCCCCCCCTCTCTTCCCACCCCCCAAGATCCCCCCCTCTCTTCCCATCCCCCCCCCAAGATCCCCCCTCTCTTCCCATCCCCCCCCCAAGATCCCCCTCTCTTCCCATCCCCCCCCAAGATCCCCCCTCTTCCCATCCCCCCCAAGATCCCCCCCTCTCTTCCCATCCCCCCCCCCCCAAGATCCCCCCCTCTCTTCCCATCCCCCCCCAAGATCCCCCCCTCTCTTCCCATCCCCCCCCCCAAGATCCCCCCCTCTCTTCCCATCCCCCCCCAAGATCCCCCCCTCTCTTCCCATCCCCCCCCAAGATCCCCCCCTCTCTTCCCATCCCCAAGATCCCCCCCTCTCTTCCCATCCCCCCAATATCCCCCCCTCTCTTCCCATCCCCCCCAAGATCCCCCCCTCTCTTCCCATCTCCCCCAAGATCTCCCTCTCTCTTCCCACCCCCCAAGATCCCCCCCTCTCTTCCAATCCCCCCAAGATCCCCCCCTCTCTTCCCATCCCCCCAAGATCCCCCCCTCTCTTCCTATCCCCCCAAGATCCCCCCTCTCTTCCCATCCCCCCCAAGATCCCCCCTCTCTTCCCATCCCCCCCAAGATCCCCCCCTCTCTTCCCATCCCCCCCAAGATCCCCCCCTCTCTTCCCATCCCCCCAAGATCCCCCCCTCTCTTCCCATCCCCCCAAGATCCCCCCTCTCTTCCCATCCCCCCAAGATCTCCCCCTCTCTTCCCATCCCCCCAAGATCCCCCCTCTCTTCCCATCCCCCCCAAGATCCCCCCCTCTCTTCCCATCCCCCCCAAGATCCCCCCCCTCTCTTTCCATCCCCTCAAGATCCCCCCCTCTCTTCCCATCCCCCCCAAGATCCCCCCCCTCTCTTTCCATCCCCTCAAGATCCCCCCCCTCTCTTTCCATCCCCCCAAGATCCCTCCCTCTCTTCCCATCCCCCCCAAGATCCCCCCTCTCTTCCCACCCCCCAAGATCCCCCCTCTCTTCCCACCCCCCAAGATCCCCCCTCTCTTCCCATCCCCCCAAGATCTCCCCCTCTCTTCCCATCCCCCCCAATATCCCCCCTCTCTTCCCATCCCCCCAAGATCCCCCCCCCTCTCTTTCCATCCCCTCAAGATCCCCCCCCCCTCTCTTTCCATCCCCTCAAGATCCCCCCCCCCTCTCTTTCCATCCCCTAAAGATCCCCCCCTCTCTTTCCATCCCCCCCAAGATCCCCCTGTTATGACCCTTGACCTCTGGGTATGGTTCCTCTGCTTTTGCAGTTGTAAAAAAATGTATAATAATACGACCTTGCCTACTAAAAGTGTCTAGGGTAAATATTTCAACTGCTTACTCAACAAAGCAATATACTTTAAGTAAGGGTAACAAAACATACAAGCATATAAATGGAAATACAGGCAGCCAGAAATATTAATGCACCAGAATACAATAACACAATATTATTATATAAGCACTGATCACTATTTTATAACTTAAATGGATAGAAGGTATGCAAACAATGGTCTAGCCAGGCAATTAGTTATGTTACTAAATAATAAACAGGTACCACAGACTTATTTTAACACTTTCGCGCTCTCGGCGAAGGTCACTCAGCCAACCGTATGTGCGCGCGCCGTTTTTATCGCTTAAGCGTAAAAACAAAAATGTGTATACTCTTTTTACTTTTCTGACCTTAGTTTTCATGCTACGTATTTCATTTTGGTACCAACGTGTTCGCAATAAAATTCTCTAGAAGAACATCAGTAAAAAAAAGTCACAAAAGCTATAGAGATACCAGCATGAAATAAATAACTACGAAGATGAGTCGCCGTGAGCGCTCAACAGCAACAAAATGTTTTTACTCTTGGGATTATTATCACCTCTACAATTGTCCTACAGCCTTAATTTTGGTATCAATGGACTCCCAATAAAATTCCCAACACGATGATATGAATATAATCGTAGAATAATGGTCCCGGCCCACCCGCAAGAGTGTGGGAAGTGGGCGCACTGTTACCCGGTAACAGTGACCGGACGACACACGCGCGAAACGTTGCTTTGAAAGTTTATACTTATTTCACTGTTCTGATATTATTATTGTATGTATGTCATTCATTTTTGTGGCAATGTTTTCGCAATAGAATGTTCTATGAGCTAAATTATACTACACAAACTTGGACCAAATAGGTGTACTTACCAAGGGAAGGCTGGTTTTGGAACAGTAAGTTGAGCATTTGTTCTTCTCTCCACCTTCTTCAGGTTCTTCATTCCTGAAGTTGCTCAACAGATGGTTTGTAGGTGGAGTGAAGCTGTTGCGGGTGGTTACTTCTTCACCACCCAATACACCTGTTTCCGGTGGTAATTGGTGTAGCAGGGAACAACACAGAGTGCAACACCACAGGTCTTGCATCCATAGTTCGTGTCCTTCCTTTTACCGGACCATGCGCATGCATGACACTTGAGACGTTTGGGCAGTCTGTAAATTTCATGTTTCAGTTTGTAGTTCATGCGATTTTCTGAATCAACAATAGGGCGGCCAGGTCCTCTCGCTGGAGGTGTAACAGGAGTTGCAGGAGAGTCAGATTCATCTGACAAAACAGTTTCGTCAACTGGCAGTGTGGCAGACATGTCGGGTTCAGATTCGTTGTCTGCTTCATCTTGAGGTGGTGTAGTGAACAAAGGCCGCCTCACACCAGATGGTCCGGGAGTTGGCATGGCGTCAGCATTGGCAGGAGCTGTGTCATCATTTATGTCTGGAGCGTGCCGCAAGTGTTGAGATGATAATGATGTTTTAGGCCACTCCTCTGTGTCCCAGTGCAATAGGGCCCAGATTGCCACTTCGTGGAACTGTAGCAATGTTAGCTTTTTTCGATCAGTTGTGTTGTATTTGTACAAAACATAGGCATTATGCAATGCCATTTGCAGGAAATATAAGGTAATCTTTTGGGTCCACTTGTGAGTTTTCCTGGTAAAATGGTAATATTTAACCATTTGATCGAAGTGGTCCACACCTTTCATGAACTTATTGTACTCGCAAATTGCAGTCGGTTTGTTCACTGTTACCTGTTGTATTCCACTTGTTCCGTCTCGGTTGCGAATTCGCTTCCTTCGCTGAACTCGCTGAGTGTCTGCATTGTGGATGTTGGTAATGATTGAAACCACTCGCTTGTCTTTCCACAGTAGAATGAAGGTATTATCTTTGCGGCGATATACTGTGGTATCCAGTGGAAGTTTACCCTTGGCTAGAGCTTGCAATACCTTTGGGGCGCCACGTAGCATTCTAATTGTGCCACATGTGTACACCCCAAGTTCTCTCAATGTTTCTTGAGTGCTTGTAGAAGTGCTTGGACCTTGACCTTGATCCATTTTTGATGAAGTAATTGGGTATAATCCACACGGAAATGGGTAAAAATGCTCGAGTTTGGCGCGCGAGGGGAGCGTGATCGACTCACGACACGTGACACGAAAACAATGGGCCCATCACGTGACCAGGTAGGCCGACGCGCCAGGCGGCCTAGTGGTGAGAAAGAGAACTTCATGGCGCGTCGTTTGAAACAAACCCCAATGAAATCGGATTAAAATTGAATTTTATACAAATATTTTAAAAGTAGACATAACTTTATGTCCACTATGCGTTTACGTTAGACGAAACCGAACGCGCCGGCGCGTCCAGACAGCGCGAAAGTGTTAACATGTCCACCCCAGCCAGCTCCACCCACGCCAGTCGCGTGGGTGGAGCTGCCTGGGGCGCTTTCATTTGGTCAAGTGCATAGACATTTGTCCCTGTAGCTTTTCCCTGGTATTCCTATAACTGAAGAAGAAGTCTTTTATCAGTAGTCTTTATTTATCAACGTCAGCAGTGTTAAATTGCTTGAGAGTTTGCAAGGTCAAATGTTTTTATAGATCAAGGACGACTATCGCTGAACCTGTTGATTGCACATAGTCTTGTGAAGTATCACAGTGTGGTTTTATAATGCTTGGTTGGTGTGTCAGGGTACTGATTCTCCACGATGATTGTGATAGCATCTCATACTCTCGTGTTGCCACAATGGCTTTAAACCATGTACTAAAATGCACTAACCTAACTGACTCTAAACTTGTGACCCACATCTAGCAATTGGGATTGTTCCATAGCCATGATTTACAGTACTACATTTTTCTGTTAGGGATGCTGAAGTTTGTGTGTGATGTATTATTTGAGAGGACAGATTGGTGGAAGACACTACTGAACAAGTGTCAGAGTATATTTAAGATTCTTTTCGTGTGTTGTTCTTTTTCCCATTCCCCCATTATGTGGTAGTGGTAACTACTACCGTTGGTGTAGTACTAGAGCGGAAAGTAGAGTAAACCCGTGTTGCTATCTAACCAACTCAACTGTTTATATATTTTTTTTTAAAGAAAACAGTTGTTTCTCTGGTCATTTATACCAACATGGAATTATTGAACATTAACCCCTTAACTGCGTTGCCTCCAAATGTGACACCCCCGCAGTGCGCAGGAAATAAATTCTCTGGAAAAAATTCTTTTTTCTTTTTAAAGTGTCAAAAACCCTTCCCTCAGTATGGGTATGTAAAAAAAAAGTCGAAATTGTACTTACTTTGGCTGCTATGGGGTCCGGAAGTTGGGGCGTGACGTCATCATTCCCCGTGCGCCCGTGCCGTGAGCTCTCGGGGGCGGTGGGGCGCTCGGGGCGGGGCGCGCGAGTTGCCGCGAATATATTTTCGTTCATTTTTTGCGCACCTTTCCAAATACATTTTCATTGTTTTTATGTGCCAATCCAATGTATAATGAACACGTACACTATAATATCGCAGTACAACATCCGTACTGTCCGTAGACACTGTGTTACGTGCATGAAACTTGTGTACACATATGCAGCACATATTTACTATGTATCATGCTAATTTGTGTATATATACAATCTATTTACACACTATACACTGTCACACACTATATACATTCACTATCAACACATTCAGAACACCGTGTAGCAGCTGCTTCGTATGGGCCAATAGCAGCTGCCTCGTATGGGCCAATAGCAGCTGCCTCGTATGGGCCAATAGCAGCTGCCTCGTATGGGCCAATAGCAGCTACCTCGTATGGGCCAATAGCAGCTGCCTCGTATGGGCCAATAGCAGCTGCCTCGTATGGGCCAATAGCAGCTGCCTCGTATGGGCCAATAGCAGCTGTCTCGTATGGGCCAACAGCAGCTGCCTCGTATGGGCCAACAGCAGCTGCCTCGTATGGGCCAACAGCAGCTGCCTCGTATGGGCCAACAGCAGCTGCCTCGTATGGGCCAACAGCAGCTGCCTCGTATGGGCCAACAGCAGCTGCCTCGTATGGGCCAACAGCAGCTGCCTCGTATGGGCCAACAGCAGCTGCCTCGTATGGGCCAATAGCAGCTGCCTCGTATGGGCCAATAGCAGCTGCCTCGTATGGGCCAATAGGAGCATTTGGCCATGAACACATTCAGAACACCTCGAGTGAGAGCAGCCACACCCAGCCTGTCTCCCTCACTCCAACATCTTACTCGCCAACATTGCTCCTCCCACCATATTGTTATAGTTCTTATTACACATGTTCTATATACCTATCTACATGTTTTATTTACCAGAACTATGCAAGTAAGCCAGTATTGTGTCCAAACAGTACAGTGGCCACCATACACTGCATGAAAAATCACACAGCAGACGACGCTACGATTACGTCACCTCCCTCACCAAAATAGCTCCTCTCAACATTCTTCTGTTGCTGTTCTTACACTATATACACACACTATATATACCCATGTACATATGTGTTGCCCATAGCGAACCACTAAGCTAGTATGGTGAGCAAAACAAGAGTGGCAGCCACACACACAATGAGGCTACCTCAATTCTCGCCCTCCCTCCCTCATCAAAATTCCTCCTTCCACAATACTACGCACAACGCTAATTATAACCACATTCCTGCTATTATCACAATCCTGGTCACTAATTCCTGTAAATGAATAATTGACCACACGTTTATTTTGAAAACGAACCTAAAAAATCATTTGAAGATTCCTAGATGAACGAAATAATGCTGTGGTGCTGTGGCTAGCGCTGTGAACATCGTGAACAGCATTGAATCACTGATATTTGAACATTGTACCCAGTCATTATCACACTCAGGCTCTAATATAACACTATCATAGCTAAATAATACAAGTTATATATATATTTTGACATTATTAGGCGATGCTGTGGTCACATGCTGAACAGCAGTGCTGTGCGCTCATGCTGCGAGCGCCAGCCTTGGTTGCTCACACACTACTGAGGCTCCCACACCCGGGAATGTGGACCACGATTTTTTTTAAAGATGGCGTCTGTTTACAAGAGCCCTGAGGAAGCTGATGTGAACCCCATGTAGCCGCGGGAGTTTTGAATGGAACGTGAAAAATACAAATACCCGGAGGCGCGTTGCGCAAACCAGACGTGAGCCTGCAGGCGCGTTGCGCAGTTTAAGGGCTAAAGCATGTTGGTACTGAATAGGGGGTATTTTTGTCTGTCTTTTGTATTTTTGTCTTCTTTATTATAATTGCGGTTTTCAGACTCCACGTGTCCAGATAAGAGCCAAAACACCATCTGAATCTTCAAATGATGGTGGTCTCAGTCAAGCTGCTCGGCGCATCTTGGAAAGTTTGGAGCAAATGTCAACACCCATATCTGATGCCAAGCGTATACCTACCCCTACCCCTGGTCAGAGAGGCAGCTTCTTGGATGCAAACCCTTCATACACAGCTGCATTTCATAGACATCGTCCAGTTTTAAGAACATCGGCTCCACCAACATCTAGACTTCTAACTCCAACAAAGGTAAGAACATTTATTTGCACAATGTGCATACATCCTGTATGCACATTCACATGTGCATTCATCCTGTATGCACATTCACATGTGCATTCATCCTGTATGCACATTCACATGTGCATTCATCCTGTATGCACATTCACATGTGCATTAAATTACATTGTGGTTACTGATTTCATAGAACAGATTTTCAAGGTTGTCTTAGATGCAGCTTGACAGATGGGTCAGTATATAGTAGAGATTTTCTGTGATAAACTTTTATAAAATTGCAAAGGAAATGAAATTATACAAGGCAGTTAACTATCTTGGCATGAACTTTGCTGGCAGTGACTGAATGGGTGTAAAATTTTGCAAGTTTCACCACCACCACCATAAGTTTGATAAAGTTATCAAAGCATCAAAAAGCGGTTCAAATGTAGACTATATAAAAATATGACTGGGTGTGATTTGGTGCAAAAGAAGACTCACCTCACACGGGTTAGAAAGCCTTCTGCAGTCTCGGTTTTTCTTATGTTCTGATTTCCTCTAGTATTGATGATGTCCTCCAATGTTGTCCAAGTTGAAGAGCTTTGTGGGCTACTTAAATCTGGGGGTTCTTGAGTACCGAGGGCTATTCTTAAAGGTGGTTCTTGGCCAAATTGTTGTATTTCGTCCTCTTAGTTTGCTTCCCAAATCCTCTCTCCTAGGTGATTAGAAGCAGTACATTCAAAGATGGTTTTAATCTCTCCATTGATCTCTGCATCCTCTGTTTCGGTGCATTCGATTATCTTCATTGGAGGGAGGTCTTAAATGTATCAAGTGTGGGCATCCTTTAAGGGGGCCGGAATCAGTCTCAAACTTGCTCAAACTTTTTTTTTTCTTCTCTCTTCATAGCCTACATGGTAAATGCACCATCCTTTCCTTATGCATCGATATCGTAACAAACACAAAAAAAGGATTTTGAAATTTATGACAATTGTCAATTTTCAAAATCCTAAAAAGAAATATTCTCCTTTATATAGTACAAGTGTTAATTAAAATGACACCAATTTGTCTTGTAATAATTTTGGTCTAAGAATGACATGCGATTATTTTCCATTTGGTTGATTTAAGTTTGTGATTACTGTATAGTTTACTATGAACAAAATTGTCAGTGTGGCCATCCAAAATAGCGCCAAATTTAGACACAAATTTATAACCCCCAAATTTATGGGTTTATAAATAAATACACAACAGTACCTTTAGAACAAAGAACTTTGCATATAATATCTAAATATGGGGAGAATTGATCGGAAACATAATTTGTTTTAGGGTCTCTTAAAAGTTCTGTTTTAGAGAAAATTGAAGATGAAGTTCACAACAGTGACAGTGGTAGTTCTACATTATGGATTTCCTTGTTTTAATAAACATTGCTTAATATTCGTAATTCGTATTCGAATATGTGAAAGTTGTAGTTCAATGTGTGTTGAAATGGTCACCCAAAAATACTCCCATCCAAAAACAAATGTATAGGGATAGGGATAATGGGTTAGGCATAACAAACCTATATATTTAAATAACTTTTATTGCCTTTTATATATATATAATGTGTGTGTGTATGTATGTATGTATGTGATAAGGCCCTCATCTGGTCCCCATTCATCAAAACAACCTAAAGAGACAGAGAAAAGTTTGAGGTCTGTAAATAACCTGCATCAGAAACAGGGAAAGTCACAAAGTCACTGCCACCTGTGCCTGATTCACATGTTACCAGTGTCTTTCCAACTTCACATCCTTAGTGACTGGTATGCATTCTCCAAGATGTAGAAGCCACAAAAAAAATCTGCTAAAAAACAAAGGGGGAGAAAAATTGGCTGACAGCTTCTCATACTGAGGGACATAAGAAATATTGGCATTGGACAGTGTATTTATGGTATATAATAAAATACAGCAAAATAATGTGAAAATATTCATTATTATGTGTGAAATTTGGCTCTCCAGGTAGAACTCAAAAATGCTAGAAGGCACCAGCTGCATATCCACTTTGTGGACTCTCCGTACTACTACCGTACTATTATTCTTTGTGCATCGGACAGGTGCTTGCATCTCTCAATCCCTGCATATCCACGAGTTCCAGTAAATAGAAGGCGTTATCGTTATCATCAGTACCAATTGCGGCATTAGTTTCTTTAGGTTGTTTTGATGATTATGGACCAGATTAGGGCTTTTTTACTTATATAAAGTACTGTATACCCTAAATATACCTCCTAAATCATTATAATTATTCCTATATTGTCTTTTTTGGGGGGCTATTTTTTTTTACTTAATTTTCAACATATATTGACCTACAACTTTCACATATTCAAGTACAAATGCCAAACAATGTTTATTAAAACATACAAGTAAATTCATGAATTAGAACTGCCTTATTCATTGTCGATAACTTCAACTTCAATTATATCTATAACTGAAATTTCAACTTACTTCAATATCCAAAAATCTATTTTCTGACCAATTCTCACCATTTTTACATGTAGTGTGCACAGCTGTCTGTTCTACAATCCCTATAGAATTGATTTTTCATAAACTAAACGTTTGGCATTATAAATTTTTGTCCTAATTTGTGCATATTTAAAGTGCTATATTGAATTTTTTTTTTACAGTAAACTATATTGAAAACCTATATTCTAAATATATGAAAATGAAGATCATATGCTATTCTGAAATCATAATAACACCAAATGAACAATAAGTGATGATTTTATTTTTGCAGCTGATTTTAAAATCTGAAGTTTTCAATATTCAATTTTATAATTATTTTTTATTTTCTTGTTTTTCAAGTTACACGGTATCATTTAGACAAAGTTTGAACATTTGTCTAGTAGATTATCCACAAAACATTTTAAAAGATTTTCAGAAAATTTAAGAAACTGAACTCAATGTCACACTGCATATGATGTTATGCGCAGTTTAGGGGTTAAACAACAAAAAGTCTGTTTAAATATTCCATAGATTTTTTCCTTTGCAGTTGACTGTCCAAGAGAATTTAACCACCTGTCTTCTGCCCTCAAGTTCAGCAAGTACTTCTCTTTCTTCTGGATCTCCTGGTCCTAAGAAAAATGCAAATTCAGAAGGGGCCCCACGGGTCATTTCAGATACTAGTATATCAGAAAAGGGACAAGAGAAGAACCCACCAAAGGATTCCTTGGAAACATTTTCGGCCTTTTCCAAAGCTTCGGCAGAGGCCGCTGTAAAATTCAAGCCCGTAGAGCCCTCCGTATCCTCAATAACTGCAGCTGATGAGCCATCAGATGTGTTAAAGTTTGGAGCCTCTAGCAACATTAGTATGAGTCTAAACACATTTGAGTTTACTCCTAGATCTAATACAACTATGTCATCATTTACAAGGTTTGTGAATGGCTGTTATGTAATTACATAGTTTGCACTAATTAATAATAATATTAATTTGTTATCACTTTTCCCACTTGGGATGGGGAGGTAAGATAAATAATATAATGAAGTATTAGATTAAAAGTTCATTTGTTCATTGTATCCTCCATACTTGTGGGTATATAGCACCAGAGATAAAGCAGCATCTCCACACACTAGTGGTGTGGAGATACATCCACAGCAGCACAGCTTCAATATGAAGTGCAACAGTGCATACAAGTATGACAACAGGAGGTAAGAACAAAGAAGCACCGGGCAAAATGGATATGACATGGGGAGGTGAAATAGAGCTTATTCCCCACACACAAACACTCACCTGACACACGTGCACGCACAATTTTTATAATAAGCAAAGGTTCAATGAAGTGCTGTTTCCATAGTAAAATATTTGTATTTGTTGAAATATAAAGATTGTTTCGTCCATTTCTGGGGGAGCCCTTTGGTAGCTCCCTGTAGCTATCTTGCCGAGATGGCTCCAGTCTACCAGTTACATCAGTTACATTTCATTTGGCCTACCGTGGATGAGAGCCAAAACCTGGCCCCTTCACATGCAACCCGTTCTCGCAAATTTAATAAGTCAATATTGACTTATTAAATATGTGCATAGGTGACATAGTTAACATAATAGATACCCTTAAAAAGATTAATAGAAAACACCGACCTTACCTAACCTTGTTAGTATCTTAAGATAAGCATGTTATTGCTTCGTAATTACAATTATTACCTAACCTATAATAGGTATAGGTTAAGTAATAATTGTAATTACGAAGCAATAAGATGCTTATGTTAAGATACTAACAAGGTTAGGTAAGGTCGGTGTTTTCTATGAATCTTTTTAAGGGTATCTATTATGTTAAGTATGTCACCTATGCACATATTTAATAAGTCAATATTGACTTTACGAATTTGCGAGAACGGGTTGTCACATGAGACAAATGACATTCCACCTTTTCACCGGGAAAGCATCCAGAAAGTCAGTGAAACTTTGCAGCCAATTGTTGGGTTTACCAAAACTCAAAAACCACTAAAATGCCAAGTAACATTCCAACCCATACAAAATAAACATATCACACAAATCTACTACAACTCAAGAGTACCTAATGCTGCCACCAAGCAGTCCAGCATCAATTATCAGATGAGTTCAGGAGCGGACAAACACCGCCTAAAACCGCTGAACATGAAAGGGACGGAGGGACAGGGAGCCACTGGGGTTCTACCAGAAAGAAGCGTTTCACTACATTTAACGATGGATTTTTGGGGGTGCCCCTTGCTAGCTCCCTGTAACTAAATAACTTCACCATGATGCCCCTATTCACCTAGCAGTAAACAGGTATTTGGGAGTTAGACAGCTGCTATTGGCTGCTTCCTGGGGATATGTGTAACAAAAAGGAGGCTTGGTCGAGGACCGGGCTGCAGGGACGATACGTCCCAAAATCATCTTAGGGTAACCCTCCGCCCCGCATCGCTTCTTTCCACTCCCCCCAATGCCCCCTCATTGCAAACATCCATTAGTTATGGATGTTAGAGACAACATTTAATAAATATATTCTTCATATGTATATCATTTTTTTCTTTTGTGTTTCAGTGACTTGCCACAGTTAGCTAAGAAAGTTGGTGGCAAGATGAAGTCAAGAGTTGCAGATAGTGGAAGAAGTTCCAAAAGGCATAATGATGATGATGTCATTGTGGAAGTACCTCGTCTCCCAGCTGTCTCTCTTACAATGACTACTCTCCCAACAATTAATCTGCCAATCCATGCACCATCCACGCAAGGCTCACACGTGAAGATAAACTCTTCACCAAAAGGTTTCACATTCTCAACTCCTGAAATAGTTGATACTCACTCTGATGTTGAAACACTTGCAAATGCCCCCAAATTTACATTCAGAAATCCTGCACTGATTGGGGAGGTTAATTCATCTGTTGATGATCTTGGTACCATAGCTGTGCCAACTGTACCAATGATGTTTAATAGCAGTAGCCCAAGTTTGGGGCCAAAACTAAAGGCAAACAACAAGAATGCTGTAATACCGTTAGCTGGAAAACTTAGAGAAGGAAGCATATTAGATATTCTTAAATCAAAGGGAAATAGTCCAGATAAACTATCCTCTATATCTTTACCATCTAACAGCTTTGAAGAAAAGGTAGAAAATTCAAAAACTGAAAATAGTTATTTAAATTATAAAACAAAATTACCTTATGAGGAAGATAGGGTAACTAAAACACCACAAGGGTTTAAGGGCTTTGGTTCTGCCTTTAAGAAATCTGGTGATGAATGGGAGTGTAGTGTGTGTATGATTAGGAATAAGAATTCAGATGCGAAGTGTGTAGCATGTCAGAGCCAAAGACCTGAACAGAGTATTGGTGTTGGCACTACAGAGGTGACCACTCGTGCAGCTAGTGTAGTGGAGAAGTGTTCTTCGTCATTACCAGGGGGTGTGGCAGGGTGGGGGGATGCTTTCAAAAAGTCTGGTAATAAGTGGGAGTGTGATATGTGCATGTTACATAATACAGACTCGGCGGTGAAGTGTGTTGCATGTGAAGCTCCGAAGCCTGGAAGTACAACTGTGTGTGAAATTTCGGGTGAACTTAATAAAGTAGATAAGGAAGACAAACTAAATTCAGGGTTTGGCTCTGCATTTGCCAAAGGCAAAGATGAGTGGGAGTGTGACACGTGTTTAGTTAGAAACAAAAGTGAAGCCGTACAGTGCATATCATGTGAAACTCCTAAGCCTGGTGCTGCTAGTGTGTGTCAAGCCATAACTGGAAACTTCAGATTTGGTCTTAATTCAAATGACTTATCTTCCACAAGTTCTACTTTTAAGTTTGGTTTAAGTAACTCTCAAACTCAAGTTAAGTCAAGTGGATTTAATTTTGGAGTTAGTGCCAAAAGTACAGAAGACAGTGACAGTAAAGGGAATTCAGGGTTTAAGTTTGGAGTGCCTGTAGAGAAGCCTAATGCATTGACTGGATTTTCTTTTAGCTCTAATTCTGAAAATGTACATTCTAAAGAAAAAAGTCAGTGTGCTAGTGGTGGTTTTAAATTTGGTGTTCAGTCATTGAATTCTAAAGATAGTGAAAGTATTAATAAAGAACCCAGTTTATCATTTGGTAAGTCACCTGAAAGTAGTTCAGAACCTGTTACTGCTGCCAATAAGACACAAGTTGCCTTTAGTTTTGGATCAGGAACTTCATTAAATACTACTGCAAAGGAAAATCAGAGTAAAGTAGTTTCTAATGAAGTAAATCCAGCAACGGAACCTACGTCTGGAAATAGTCACGATCAACACATTGAGGTAAAAGACTCCAAATCAAGTGAAATGTTTTCATTTAAATCCAAGTCTGACAATGTAGATGGTATCAGCAAGACAGCATTCACCTTTAATGATGTCATACCTGGGCATGGAAAAGATAGCGTGGCTAATGTTACAAAGACTGCTACCCCAATCTCATTTGGAGCCTCTAAAATTACAAATGCAGGTTCAGAATCTTGTGCTTTATCCTTTGGTGCTAAGGTGGTGGAGAGTGCTATTCCAGCTGGAGGGGTGTTCACGTTTGGAGACAAGGGAGCAAAGCCTTTCGCCTTCGCTTCACCTGCAGGCAACAAAGAGGAGTCCAAATCATCACCTTCATTTAACTTCAATGCTAAATGGGACTCCATAGATACAAGTGAGCCTGCCAAGAAAATGACCTTTAGTGCAGCTAACACTGGGGGAATTAACAATGGTGTCAGTTCATCGTCGTCATCACTGTTTGCCTTTGGAAACAAGGAGAACAAGTTGAGTGCAGGTTCAGGCTTTGGGGCAGTTCCATCAGCCACCCCAGCATTTGGAGCACCAGCTCCAGCATCCAATCCAACTCCTAATTTTCAGTTTGGCAATAGTAACCCCCCTCCTCCAGCAGCAACAGCACCAGCACCGGCATTTGGAAACCCTGCACAAGCATTTGGTAGTGCAACTCCAACATTTGGTACCAACAGTATCAACAACAGTTCAACTACATCATTTGCCTTTGGCCAGCCAGCTGAGAAGAAGCCGAGTGCAGGTTTTGATTTTGGCCAGGCTGCTAGCAATACAGGATCCAGCTTTAACTTTGCAAGTGGGGGAGCCCAGTCTTCAAACATTTTCCAGTTTGGTCAGGTAAGTCCTATGTCGTAAACTTTAGATACATTATTTTAAGAAGTATTTAACATTGATATTTTTCTTTAAGTTATGCTCTAAGCTGTGTGTGTGCACAGTATAATTGTGATAAAGACTACAGGAAATTTCTGAGAAACTCATCATTGATGGACAAGGTAATTGGTGGAACAGTGGCATAGATCCTATTTTTACACTGAGACATCTTGTAGATCAAGTATGTTAGTAATAATGCAAGATGTACATGGCCTTTATATGACTACAAATTTGAAACTTTTGATAGGGAATGGCTGTGGAGAGTCATGAGAATGTATGGAATAGATAAGAGTTGTATTAAATACTGTAAAATGTTTTATTTGAGGTGTATGCGAGTGTTTGTAATCAGTGACATGCGGTGTGAACACATGCCATACCACAAGTTGGAAACCATAGGATGAAATAATGGAATTATCTCCTATGTAAACTGATCATATTCTTCATTAGAGATTTATGTTTAGTTCAATATTGGTGTTTGTGTGTGTGACAGGACCGGCAGATGTTGACAAAGGGAAAGTAATGGGTAGTGGCAGAGATGTGAACTCTTTGTGAAACACAATTGTACATGTGAATAGTGAAAAGTTAGAAATGATCATCACATCCAGGATGTGTGATATGAGGAGTTTGTAAGCAAAGTTCTAAGTATAGTGATTTGGGTAGGAAGTGGAAAGGTATGGAATGTAAGTTTATCAATTGTAAGCTTGAGGGGTACATACTTGCATACTGAGACGGTTTGGGCTTGTTGACGAGTGAAGAGTAACCAAGTGAATGAGGGTAAACGGAGGACCAGACTGCCGAGTATATATATAACGAGTGTGATGTAGCTGGGCTTGTATGTTAATCATAGATGGCAAGAAACAAGGTTGTGTGCAAGTAATGTCCAGTTGCATTGATTTACAAGTGTCATTGTATAATTTACACACACTGGTTTAAGAAAACAAGAATAACATCTTGAGTATTTTTCCATTTGTATGCTCTCAGTATTTTAGGTGCAAATATACAAAATTTCAGTAAAAATTTCTTTAAATCATCAGATTAATTGTACTTAGCCAGGTTGGTCATTAATTTTGTTTTATTAAACACTTTCAACTTTTTATGTTTACAATTAAAAAGACTACTTCATGCACAACTATGCAATAACAAAAAATTACAGCTGAAATAGTCTACTGTATTTGTATATATGGATTCATGAACATTTGTTTAAAAAGTTATATAAATTTTCATTCAATTTTGTGGAATGTGTTATAATTGTATAAGAAAACTAACCAGTCAACTTCTAGTATTTTCCATCGCTAATGCACCCCTATTAGGTGAAATAACGTATAATTAAAGCCGTTCATGTAATAAAAACATTTTAATTTGTTTATATAAATAACACACTGGAATAAACACTTGGTGTTAAGAAGACTTAAAGTAAACAACTCTGCTCTTGTCATTTGACAAACTCTTCCTTTGACCTGCAGTCTCGGGTTTGTGATCCTTTGACCTGCAGTCTCGGGTTTGTGATCCTTTGACCTGCAGTCTCTGGTTTGTGATCCTTTGACCTGCAGTCTCGGGTTTATAATAGACATTTGGTCCAAGAGTTTGCAAGTTCATTGATGGATTTCACAGTTTTGGAGTTTGAAGATTATGGAATGTTGTTGTAGTTATTCTTATGTATATTAATTTGTTGCCTTCCAGTGTTAAGAGTTGTGAAAGATTTGTGGTAATACAATTGGGAAGAGGGACAGTTCGTTTTGTGATTGTTTACTAGCTTATGTATTCCCAAAACTTGGCCTGGTAACGTGATGCCTAAACATCCGTATTTGGCTCCACTCTTCATTCTATGATGCATATTTTAATGACTCATTCTCAGATGAGTATGAATGATTGTATTTAAAAAATATTAACTTAATGTATTAAATTGTATTTGTTACATATCCTTAGATTTTTTTCAGTGAAAGTGAGAATCGAGGTAATTTTTTCTTTATTTCCATTAAGAAAAATTTTCCTTCTGTAATCTATGCCTTAAAATCCTTATAAATGTATTTTTCATTAATGTTTGTTCATAGTGTGTTCACTAATAATAACTATTGAGACACAGGAACCACAGGACATAAGTGTTTACAAGATTTAATAAGATCTTATTCTTTTTTACAAGATGTTTACAAGATTGAATAAGATTGAATTAAAGGGGGTGTTCTTGTTTGCATTTATGCTAAAGCTGTGCAAATCAAATACAAAAGCACATGGAAAATAATTATTTTCCAGATACCTAAAAAAAAAAAATCCCCTTTTCACACTTTACAAGATGCATTTTAATATCATTATTTAATGCTTGACTTCATAGCCACATTCAGCACTAGGTGTCTAGGAGGCTTGGCATATGCAATGCTGCACAAATGTTACCCTCAAACAGTTTGCAAATCGGTGCTTCCTCCACCGGTTCATTACTCACAGGAGTTCTCAATGTTGTCATCTGAACATTTAGAATACACATTCTTCTTTTATGGAATGAATACAAGTTTTGTGATTTTGTACTGAAGGCTAATAGATGCAGCAGCAGATTAGACCACAGGAACCTGCCATGGACAGAACCCAGTCACAAACCCAGATCCTCGAAAACATCAAAGGGAAGAGAAGACGAAAGGAGGGGCACTAAGAGGAAAACAGGACAACTCCGGTTCTCTTCCCAAAACACTTAAAAACTCATCCCTACAGCCAGAGAGGGAGTTTCAGCATTGGAGCCTGTAACTCCCCAGGGGCCAAAAACTGAGAAAAACACAAAGGCCACTGACAATTTGTTTTCCCCAAAAGGACTTGTCAGAATATAGGTTCCATGGCCATGTTGAAAATCCGGAGGAAATTGCTCACCGTCCACCAGCTAACCATTGCTAAAATGCAAGCTCTGATGCCAAACACCTTCAATTGGCAAGAAATATTGGGAATCCTATTAATACCAAACCCTGATCAGATAGGACGCACAGAGGAATGGGTGCACAGTGTTGGAAAGAGTAGCTTCCCTCAACGGCTAGGTCAGCTGAACCTGAAAAGTGAGGCAAAGGCACAAGAAAGTGAGCTTGCCAAGCCATGTGGGTCCTGAAACACACCAGGGTCATAAAAAGCAGTGCCTAAAGGATATTTCTTTGGATTATTCTAGCTTCTCAGCCTTGTATACGTTAATCTTTGGTCACCCGTCTATTTCCACCTCTGCTGTTTTATGAGTCGATTGTTTTTATTCCCATTTATTTTTTGCCCCATTTTGTGGGTGTAGCTTTGAGTGTGCTGGGTGCATTTCCTGGGGTCTGTGTTTTTTGGATTTGTCTCGTCTTTCCTGGTGGTTGCTTTATGTTTGTTTAATGGCTAATTCCACACCTTGGGTTTGTACCATATACAGTTCTCAAGTTACAGCTATTCCCTCAATTGAGGTTTTTGCCATGGGATGCACCTGTTCTGGGGTGCATGTGTGGTTTCCTTTGACTTCTGTCCTGTGTCTTCTTGGATCTGTGGCAGTGCTTTGATATGTGCTTTGATTTCTGTACCTTGTTTTGCAGCTGGGTTGGTGGGTTTACTGTTGGCTTGGTACTGTGTGGTACGTCTGACCCATGAGTTCTTTTGGTTCCCTTGTCTTCCTCAAGGCTCTAGTAAACAGACACCATTAAAAAACAAATCGTGGGCAACATTCGCAGGTGTGAGAGCCTCTGTACTGAGTGAGTAACCAAGGCTGGTACACGCAGCATGAGCTAACGCACTGCTGTTCAGTTTGTGACCACAGCATATATTGTATATATTATGTAATATATTGTATATATAACATAATATATTGTATATATAACATAATATATTGTATATATTACATAATATATTGTATATATAACATAATATATTGTATATATAACATAATATATTGTATATATTACATAATATTTTGTATAAATTGTAATAAGAGCATGAACAGTATGCTGGGAGGAGCCATTTTGGTGAGGGAGGGAGTGAGGCTGTCGTCTGCTAGTTGGTGTGTGACTTGCAATGCAGTTTCTTGTGGCCACTAAGTTGTTTGGACATCATACCAGCTTAGTTGTACAGTTATGGTGAACAAAACACGTAGATACTTGTATATAATGTGTGTGTATAGTGTAGTAACAGCAAAAAGTATGGTGGGAGGAGGGATGTTGACGAGTGAGGTGTTACAGGAGGTGAGGTCTGCTGGCTTGTGTATAGTGGCCACTCATGTTGTTTGGACACACCATACCAACTTAGTGATTCGCTATGGTGAACAAAACGTGCAGATACTATAACGTGTATATTGTGTAATAACCGTAAAACTATTTGTTTATTGTTTTATGAACATAATTTAATCACTAAAATGCACACCATACCTTTGAGTATAGTGATAGTTCACACATTTTATTATATAAATATCACACTACACACTATTGAATAATATTACTGCAAAAAAAGTTAAAAAATAGATCACACATTGAAATAATTAGGTAATATCTTTGTGGCAACTCCCGCCTAACCAACCCGTTCTCGCACTTGCTTTTAGTCAATATTGGCTTATTTAATAAGTGCATATGTGACATACTAATTGATTGTGAATATTTTAGTTTATTTTGAAAAGCTTCATAGAAAACACCGACCTCACCTAACCTTCTTTAGTATGTTAAGATAAGCATCTTATTGCTTCTTATTTACAATTATTACTTAACCTATCAACGGTATAGGTTAATTTACAATTATTACTTAACCTATCAATGATATAGGTTAAGTAATAATTGTAATTAAGAAGCAATAAGATGCTTATCTTAACACTTTGGCGTACCCCGCGCCACCCTTCAACTGTGCGATATGGGACCCAGGGTGTCACAGGAGCGCGCGTAAATTCTGAAAAGTGTATACTCTCTTCAACTTTGTCACCTTTATTCTCATCCTACGAGATTAAATTTGGTATCATTGTGTTCGCAATAGAATTCTCTACAGCACTAAATGCATATAAACTCCAAAAGCCCGGCTAATTACCCGCAGCAAACAGAGAAAGTGCGAGCGAGTTACCCAGGAGCGGGCAAACGCGATAAAATGTTTTCACTATTTTCACTCTGGTCACCTCACTTTTTGTCCTAGGTCTTTCATTTTGGTCTCAATAGGTTCGCAATAGAATTCTCTAGAGGAACATTAGCATATAAAATAAAAAACCTGGTCACGCTCCAACCGCCGACGAGTTGAAGACGGGCCGCGAGTGAGCGCTCAGACACCTTCCAGCTACACTCCCAATTCCCTTCCTTTTCAAGCCTTTCTTTCGCAATTTTCTTCCTGGAAGGGCCTTGTTCATGATCACTATCCATCGTGGAGTAAGCGTAGATAGTTTCTAAAGCCGCAGTAAGAAATATAGCCACGGAAAATAGACGAAATGTTCACACGTTTGAGATGTGAGGGGAGGCGACATTGGTCACAACAGTGGAGCGAAAACAATGGGCCGACGGCGTGTGCCAAGTCATCTGAGGGCCACAAGGCTCAACAAAGAAAATGGAAAGAAATCAGCGCACATTTTAAAACCAGTCCCCCCAAAATTGGATAAAAACCAGATTTTTGGCGATTATTTAAAGTGGATGACGCAATGCTGCGTCATGCCCGGGCGAAAGTGTTAACATACTAAGAAGGTTAGGTGAGGTCGGTGTTTTCTATGAAGCTTTTCAAGGTAAACTAAAATATTCACAATCAATTAGTATGTCACATGCACTCATTAAATAAGCCAATATTGACTATATGCAAGTGCGAGAACGGGTTGGCCTAACAGCCCAGGTGTAGCAGCCCGGTGTTGGACACATACTCGGTCAACCCCTCAATTTTGCCAAACTTCCTTGCCCTATTGCTAGCAAAATATGTCGCCTACGATTTTTTTATGATTTTTTCCCGTTATCAGGGAACACATTTTAACAATCTTGGAAAACTTTTTTTTTTCTCTCGCGCGTGCCTGACGGTGTTGCAGGCTATAATCCCCATAGCAGTCTAAGGGTTAAAATGTGCTTGCCTTATTAATTAATAGCCTTCAACACTGCCAGGTGCAAGAAATACAAAAATTAATTTTTTTTTTTTATCTTAAGTGTTCATTTGTGTTCCTTGATGTAGTGAAAAAAAAATAGTCGGTGACATATTTTGGCCGCAATAGGGGGAGCATGTCTGGTAAAATTGAAGGGTTGACAGTAACCGTTGGAGACGGTCAGCTCCACCTGCGCTGTCATGGTGGGAGTTGCCACAAAGATATTACCTAATTATTTTCAATGTCTATATTTTTTTCAGTAATATTATTCAATAGTATGTAGTGTGATATGTTTATATAATAAAATGTGTGTGAACCATTACTGTAGTCAAAAGTATGGTGTGCATATTAGTGATTTAATTATGTTCATAAAACAATGAACAAATAGTTTTGCTGTTATTACACTATATACACACACATGATATATATAAGTATCTGCATGTTTTGTTGATCATAACGAACCACTAAGGTTGGTATGGTGAGCCTAAACAACAAGAGTGGCCGCCACACACCAGCCAGTAGATGCCACCTCCCTCCCTCCTTCACCAACACCTCACTTGACAACATTCCTCCTCCCACCATACTGTTGTAGACAGTTGGAACAAGTTAGGTGGGCAGGTGGTAGAGGCCAAAACCGTCAGTACCTTCAAAGCGTTACGTGGCAAAGAGTGCCGGGAAGACGGGACACCACGAGCATAGCTCTCATCCTGTAACTATACTTAGGTAATTACTTGGGTAGCAGCTAGCAGATGACAGTGTGTCACTGTCTCCCTCACCAAAATAGCTCCTCCCACCATACTCCTTTTGCTGTTATTACACTACACACACACACATTATAAGTATCTACATTTGTGTTCACCATAGCAAACCATTGAGCTGGTATGGTGAGTGCAGACAATAACAGGTGGCCACACAGTCAGCAGATGACGCTACCTCCCTCCCACCCTCAGCATTACTCCTCCCACCCTCAGCATTACTCCTCCCACCATACAGCACAGTGCTAATTATCACAACAATCCTGCTATTATCAAAATCCTGGTCATTTTTATCAGTCGGGTTCTTCTGTAATACTATCATTGCTAAATAATTGCAGTTATATATATATATTGACATTTTTAGGCGATCATGTGGTCACAAGCTGAACAGCAGTGCTGTTAGCTCATGCTGCGTGCCCCAGCCTTGGTTGCTCACTCAGTACTAAAGCTCTCTCATCCGGGAATGCTTCCAACAATGTTTTTTTAATTGGTGTCTGTTTACCAGAACCCTGAAGAAGCCAATGTGAACCCCGTGTAGCCATGGGACATTTAAATTGTGTGCAGCACCCTCAATTGTATATATACGATGTGTGCCATTCAGCGACATTTACTCAATTTGCGCCCTCTAAGGGTTAATGTTGTGTTATTATCCGCCAGCCAGTGCGGTAGTTAGGGCACTCCCTAGGTTCATTTCCGGGTGCCCTAGGGTTCCTCGGATTAATCTTTTCGTAGGTTTTCTTCCTCTTTGCTTCTATTGCAGAGGTTTGGGAGGCCCTTGGCACGTACCTCTTGCATGACCCGTGTTACACCTCTATGTTGGATCTGGTTTTATTTGAGTTCGGTTCCACTTACACTGATCGCGTGTGCTTCGAGGTTCAGGTATGGTCTCAGCATCTTTCATTGTACGTGGCAAGGTGTCTTCTCGGCTGGCATCCATCTCAAACGACTGGTTGGTGTGGACTCCCTGCCAGGGTTATGGTTCATTCCTAACTTGCTGGATTAGGGTTCCTAGTAACTTGGCGGAAGTCCCAGTTGGTTCTGTCCCAGGTTCGGGCTTAGCTGGGGCTAGTGTGGGGCGTTCTCAAACTGCGCCCGTTTCTCTCCTTCCTGTGCCTTTGCTACAGTTGTGGTTCCATCTCTAGCTGTTTTTGTCCTCTCGGCGGTTGCTCGAGGAGCTGTGTGGGAACCTGAACTTTGCCCTGCTGGCTTACCTGCTGGGCATGGTTTGACTTTCAAAGGCTGTTCTGGTATCTTCAAAGCGGCGTCTTTCGCCGCTCTCTCGATCACTGGGTTTGTTCCCTGGTGTCCTTGTGTCGGTTGCTGTGTATTTGGGTTTTGGTGCCATGATGCCACCTTCTTCCCTCACTCGATGTGTTCACGGACGCCTTGTCTTGTGGTTGGGGCTTTGTGACCAGTGATCACCAATCCGGCCAGGGTCGTTAGGGTCTATCCTTACATCAGGCTCACAGCACTGTGTGGGTGTTTGTGGCAAGGGCTGCGCCGGATTCGGCTTCCTTGTAACTTGATGGTTCAACTACATTCGGACTGCTCCCCCATGGTTCATTGTCTCAACCTTGGGGGAGGGGGGTCCATTCGGTCCATGGCTCTATGGGACTTGTCACTTCATGTGGCTCTTCTGCCGAGTTCTCGTGGTTTAGCTCATCACTCTTGTTTACATTCAGGGAGTATCCAGCGTTCTGGCAGACGTCCTGTCACTCTTCATACCTCTTTCCACGGAGTAGACAGTCGACGCTGCCTTCTTCCTTTGGCTTTGCTGGACATACGGGTGCCCCGGAGGTGGACCTCCTCGTATTGGCATGGTCTCGGCGTCTCCCATTGTACGTGGTGAGGTTGTCGCGGTAAATGCTTTTCGGCAGGCGTGGTCGAGGTGGGGGTTCCTTTACCTCTCTTCCCCTGTTCCAGCTGTTGCTCCAGGTCTTAGCTCGCTTGGAATCCTATCGAGAGAAGGTGATTCTCCTGGCTCCATGGTGTCAGGTCCAGCCCTAGTTTCATGTACTGCTTGCTCGGTGTTCGAACCCAGGCATTTTTCTGCGTCTCCACCTTTTCCAGCAGATTGGGTCAGTGAATTACCTCGCTGGTTCGCCTTTCTGCTTTGCACCATGCATCTTAGTCTTTTTAATGCGTGTGTATTGCCATTTATATGTTGATCAGATGGCTTCTTTGATGGTGTCCCACTTGCGGTCTTCTTCCCAGCGACATTATGTAGTTTCTTGGTGTTTTTTTTGTCTTTCTTTCTCTTCGAAGGGTTTCGTCAATTTCGAACCGGGTTATTTTGCCCTCTCTCTTTCTTGGCTTTTCTTGAATGGCATCTCATGCCTTGTACTGCCGCTTATCGTACGGCATTGGCGGAGTTGCTCCAGCTTGCATTCGGTGTGGATGTGGCTTCCGCTCCGTTTCGCAAGCTTTCACATGCTTTCTTCACCTCCGGACTGCTCATGCACCACCTGAAGCTTTTTGGTCTTTAGACCTTAGAATGTGTTCTTTCTTCTCCTGGCTGTGTTGTAGCCCCTTTGGTTACGGATTGCTTTTGGAAGGCCTTGTTTATGTTGGCCTGACCCCCCTCTGGGGGGTCAGGTTTGGGAGCTTCGTGCTCTCCTTTGACGCCAGGGGTTCTGTTTGTTTGCGGCCTTCTTTTCTGGCAATGATTGAGACGGCGGTTATCTTGAGATGATTTCGGAGCTTAGCGTTCGCCCGATCCTCGACCAGACCTTCTTTTTGTTACACACCCCCAGGAAGCAGCCCGTAGCAGTTGTCTAACTACCAGGTACCTATTTACTGCTAGGTGAACTGGGGCATCAGGGTGAAAGAAACTTTGCCCATTTGTTTCTGCCTCCACCGGGGATCGAACCTGGAATCTCAGGACTACGAATCCAAAGCTCTGTCCACTCAGTTGTCAGGCTCCCTTATCGGTGACAGGCAGTCAACGGTTGTTGACTGATTGGCGGGTTATATTCCAGAAAAAGTATTGGGTACGGCTTACCATGAGCTATGGGAAGGGAAAGTTCTCAGGACTGCCTCCAAGAGTCCGCAGTCATCTGTTCCTCTATCCACCTGGGTAATAAAAAAAAAATCCCAAATGTGATGTTTAATATACTGTGAACAAAAGACTAGTTAAAATGATCGTGTTTTGTGAGTGGAAGTCACGGAACAGTCTGTCCACCAAGTTATCACAAGTCGAGCCTGGCCCCAGGCTGCACTTGGGGGATGTAGACCAACTCCAGAACCCTCTCCAGGTATCTCTAGGTAGTGTGCAGTGGTGTGTACTTTTATCACACATAGTTGAGATAAGTTCCATAGCTGGTATATGTACCTTCTTATGAGTACTCGTGTATGTTTTGCTTTATTGCATTACTATTATGTTTGTCATTTGGGAATTTCTGTTGCAGAGTCAAGCTAATAGTACTCCATCAAGTGGATTGTTCGCATTTGGTGCTGCTAACTCGGAAGTCCCTGCTCCAGCACCTTCTTTTGGGTTTGTATTTTTTTTTTTTATCTTTAAATATGTTAGTCTCTTTGATTTCTGTAACTTTTTTTTTTTTTTTTTACATTTTATTTCAAATTTTTTAAATTATGTACTGTACTTCTGGTGGGAATATCTTAGTTCATCACTATTCTATTTCGTCTCTTATATTTTTTGGCGTCTCCTCTCTTGTATGTAACTGAAATGTTAAAGAAATGTAATGTAGGTTTGAGCAAAAAATATGGCAGCTATTAACAAGTTATTTGACCATATTGCAAAAAATCAATATTTTTCCCCTGTAATACCTTGAATTTCATTAAATTGACTTAAAGCTATAATACTGAATGATCATAAGACTAAGTGTCCTTTCATTATTGAAAAGTGTAACTCATTGGCAACAATTTTCTGGTCATTGTAGCTGATGAATACCTCCATGCTGCTATGAGAATTCAAGAGCTCTTCTCTTTTATTCCTTAACCCTTATTTTAAGGAAGCAGTCATGCACAGCCTCCAGTATGTCCTTATTATATTAATTGATATGACCTGACTAATATTGACCAATCCAGCCTCCTGGTTGGCAGTCTTATAAATTAGGCAATTTGATGCTGCTGCATGCAGTCTGATGTACGAGTCTACATCATACACCAGCCTGGTTTATCAGGTAGTATTTACTTGGTAGTATTTACCAAGTGCAATTTCTAGCAGAGGGGGGAGGGGGTTGGCCAGGTGTGTGTGTGTATTACATTTAGAGGGAGGGAGTTGAAAAGTTGTGGCCCACCCCTAATGTTTATTGATTTGTCTTTTAAGAGTACTTGTTGCATCCTTACTTTCTAGTGGGGCTATTTTTCACATTTGGTCATGTCTCCTGCTCTTGTAAGGAATTACAATAATGTGTAAATTTGAAACTAGTCCCTATAATATTTTTGCAGAGTAAATCATTGTGCATCTCTCGCCTTTGTTCCAAGTGGTGCAGGTTGAGAGATTTTGTGCTGTTTCAATAATTTAGATGTTTTATTAAAGGAATTCAGTCAATACACATTCTCTGCACATTTTCTAGATCAGCAACCTCTCCAGCTTTTCCAGCTTTAAATTGGGCAGGTAGTGTACAACAATATTCTACCCTAGAGAGAGAGCACTAGTATCTTAAAAGGTACAACCATTTCTTTTTCATCTTTTGTTTGAAAAATTCTTCTTATCCAGCGTGTGATTTTTCTTGTTTTTCTGACAGCTACTTTACTATATTCCTTACACGTAAGGTCTTCAACATTACTGCGACGTCTTTTACGTTGTATTTTATGTCTACGGTATGGTTGACTATTGGTACGATGGTCCACACTGTTACTATAAGTGCTACCTAAACAGGAGGGTGGGCTGAAATATGGCTATAACACATCTATGTGGTTAGAATGGAGTAAACTTACGTCAATGAAAAAATTATGCCTTTTTTAATTGCTTACCATACAATGAGGTTGTGTTCTAGTCGTCTGCAAGTATTGACAGATCACATTTTTTTGCCTCCCACTTGAGTTTGATTGTATTTCTGACAACATTACCAGACAATAGCAACATGCCTGATGAGGGTTTCAGACGTTCTACAGTATTGTACCTCCCAAGTCCGGCTTGGAGCCAGGCTTGACTTGTGATAACTTGGTCCAACAGGCTTTTGGTTGGAGCGGCCTGCAGGCCTACATTTCTGCAACTCGGTTGGTCTGGTACTTCTTGCGGGGCCCTATCTAATTTTATTTTTGAACAAATCCACATTTGTTTCAGAAATATTTTTTATGCTTGCTGGGAGCATACTAAACAGCTGTGGACCTCTGGTGTTTATACTGTACTCTTACATTGTGCCTGTGGCACCTCTACTCGGCACTGGTTCTGTTCTGCATTTCTTTCCGTATCTTTTGCTCCAATATGTTGTTTTCCTAATGTGGAAATTTGGGACCTGGCCTTCCACTATTGTCCATGCACTGAATATAATATTTCATACCTTTCTCATTTTTTTCCAGGGTGTATATTTTGAGTTATCATGTCTGGACACTGTTCTCTGTATTCCCTCTGTTTCAACACACTCCAACTCTGAAAAGGGAAGTGATTACCAAGCAGTGCTCCAGATAGGAGAGCACCAGTCATTTAAATAGTACTGTACTGGTGCTACTGAGCCTATTTTCTTGAAACACTGGTTTAAGTTTGCATTATCTAGCTGGTCTTACCAGCATACTTCTGAGAGGTCTTGGTTTATTCATTCCCAGTTAATCAGTTTATTAAAATTGAATTTGCTGAATTCTCCTCCTCCTTGGATTTCAGACTGGCTGCACAGGCCTATTGCCCATCCTTGCCTGAAATTCAATTAGGTTGTGATCTGAGTTACCTGTGTTTGTAATGTCACTAATCATTTCATCATTGTTTGTAAAAGTAAGGTCCGGGGTGTTTTCTTTTGTAGCTGGCTCTATTATCTGCTGGTTTAAGGCAAATCTGTCGCACATCTGCAAGATATCATTAGTGTGTTGACTGTTCACTTTGACTGCTTCCTGAGATTCTCTCTGCTATAATAGTATTTGCTACATTTTTTCCATTTTAGATGCCTTAAGTTGAAATCACCAAGTAAGATGTTAGGAGAAGGATTTGCGAGGGCTTTCTAAGCAGTATTATATTTTCATAAGTTGGTCTTAAAACTGCTGAGGATTTGCTTCTGGTGATTTATATACAAGGGCAATCACCTCATGTTGAATTACTTTTATTAGCACTTCCACCACATTGTTTGTGGTGTTCAGCAGCTCAGTGCAGATGAGTGTGTCTTTGATGTACAGGCTGACCCCACCCTGTTGCCTGTGTTTCCTCTCACACCTGAAAAGATTGTACTCCTGTATCCGTATTTCACTGTCATAATAGTCCATAGTGTGAGTTTCAATTAATAAAAGTTCCTATGCAGTTCCTATATTCCTAATATTGGCAGGTTTCACAGTCATTCTTTGATCATCATGGTTTATCCACTACATCCTGTGTTGGCTCTTTGCTGATAGATTTAGGAGATCCTGTAGATTCCTGTTGTCCTCCACTAACTTCCTTTTGTGTTGGGTGTGTCTGTTTGGATCTGTGTTCGCACTTTGTTCATTAGTACCCTCTAACACCATGTTTTTGTTTTGTAGTCCATCCGTCTCCACGTACCTGGGATGTCTGTACTTTATATCTGCATTTCTCTGCAATTTCTAAGCATGCAGTAACGAGGTAATTTCTGTCTTCAGAAATATTTTTCAGAAAATTTGATATCTTTAGAAAGAAGCAATTATCCTCATTGCAAATCCAGTATATCAAGTTATTAGCGATTTATTTTTCTTAACCGCTCAACTACCCCATTATAATATGACGGCCCTGGTGGTGTGCCAGGAAAAAATTATTTTAGCTTTTTGTATTGTAAAAATGTGATCTCTGATCACAGAAAACTAAACTAAAATATTGTACATTATTTTATGACATGCTTTAGCTATGATGGAGCCGAGACGGTGAGTAATTTGATTGCCGGGTGAGTAGGTGCCCTCAATGGCAGCAGTGGCAATAAAAACTGTATAATTGTTCATAATTATTTCAATGTCTCTTATTTGTTTCTTCTTTGAGGTTTTGCTGTAAAATTATTCAAAAGTATGTAATTTGTGGAATTTATATAGTTAAATGTGTGAAACATCGCTGTGCTAAAAAATATGGGGCTCATATGTGGTGAAATAGTTATATATAACTAGCAGTACCCGGCCACGCGTTGCTGTGGCTCAGCAACACATGTGCACCGCTGAGCCACAGCAACCTTCCCTGTTCCCCAGTCCTCCCCACCATTCCCCCCTCACCCGTCTCCTCGGCCTCCCAACCATTCCCAAACTCCCCCGTTCCCTCGTCCTTCCCCACCATCTCTCACTTCTGTCCCCTCGTCATCCCCAAAATTCCCCACTCCCTCGTCCGATGCCTTCCAAAATGGTCTGATGTTCCCATCAGAAAATTGGGAACATCAAGTGATCTGATGTTCCTATTACTGAAATATAAGAAAAAGTTAAAAATGAAATGAAAATATGAAAAAAATTAAAAAATAAACTTTACTCATGAAATGAACGGTACGGTAAACAACATAGCTCAATTCCAACGCAGTTCATACAAAATAATTATCTCAAAATGAAAATAAATCAAAATCTATGAAAATTCATTTCAATTAGAAACATTGAAATGGAATTGTAACATTTTAGTATAGCATGTGTGTTGCTCTTATATGCCACAGATGGCGCTGTTTTTCAAGAAAAGCATGGTTTTACCTGTCACAGGTGTGGCATCTATACTTATACTTACAAAATGAATGGTATGGTAAACAACTCGGCTCAATTCCAACACAATGTCACAAAATAATTCAATAAAAAATATAATAAATCAAAATATGAAAATTAAATTTATCAATGCAATTGGAAACATTGAAATAGAATTGGTGACATTTAATATAGTGTACATGTTTCTATTATATGCAACAGATGGCGTTGTTTTTAAAAAAACGCATGCTTTACAGGGGCGGCATCTATATAGTAGGTATATAAAACCACGCTCCCATTTGAATGCAACGTTGTGTCAAAATTTCAAAGCCATTGGTGAAGAGCTTTCGGAGATTACAGCGTGTGTTGCTCTTACATCCAACGGATGGGGCTGTTTTTCAAAAAAAGCATGCTTTTTCCTGTCACAGGTGAGGCATGTATATAGTAGATATATAAAAAGACGTGCTTATTCGAATGCAACGTTGTCGAAATTTCAAAGCAATCAGCAATCTGTTTCGAAGATTTTCCTCACATGAAAAACACACACGTTTCAGAAGAAGCATGTTTTTTTTTACAGTCACAGACGTGACAATTATATAGTATGTATATAAAAACCTGGCCGGATGCAAATGGAACGTTATGTAAAAATTTCAAAGCAATCGTTGAAGAACTTTCGGAGATTAGCGATTTTGAACAAACGAACATTTCCATTTTTATTTATATAGATGTGCGTGTGCACATTATATATAACTACATTTTTGTGCGCCATAATAAACCACAAAAAGTGTGTTGAGAGTTCATATACTGTTCACAGAACATGAATCCAAGGTCAGCCTAGCGGCCAACAGCTGAGTGGCAGGGGCTGCCCCAAATACGTTTTTACATAATTGTTTCGGTGTTGGAATGGTTTTAAATCTAGTTTTTTGCAGTAATATTATTAAATATTGTATAATCTGTGGAATTGATATATTTAACACTTTCGTACAGCGGCAACGCATGCTGTGTCCGTAAATAACTTGACGGATGTGCGGTACAGATGCATCGGTGCGTCAAAAAATAAAATATTTGTTAAAATTCAAGTTTTTTCCGATCTTTATGGGGCTGGTTTTAAAATGTGTGCCAGCGTCTTCCCATTTTCTGTGCTGGTCGAAATGAAAGACGTAGCATGAGAATTGAGGTGACAAAAGTGGAGAGTATACACATTTTAATGCTCTTGTGCTCTCACGGGTATCGCTCGGCCGATTTCTGGGTTTGGTGCGGGTGGCATGCCGGGGTTTTGGATCTTTGTATGCATATACTCCTGTAGGGAATTCTATTGTGAACATTTTTATACTAAAATGAACAACGTACAATGATAATTGAGGTGATACAACTGAAAAGAGTATACAGTACACATTTCAGTGTTACTGTGTGCTCATAGGAAAAGCTCGGGCCACCTTGGGGTAGCCTGGCTCGTGCACACCCAAAATGCGAAAGTGTTAAATGTGTGGAACATTGCTATTCTTAAAAATATTGGGCTCATATATGGTGACAGGAATAGTGTTCTTGCTGTTATTACACTATACACACATTATATATCGCTATCAACATTTATATACATCATAACATAGTAATAAGCAGTTCTGGTGGTTATGGTGATGAAATCAAAACACAGCATGGAGGTACATGATGAAAGCAGAAGCCGGTCGGCCGAGCAAACAGCACACTGGACTTGTGATCCTGTGGTCCCGAGTTTGATCCCTGGCGCCGGCGAGAAACAATGGGCAGAGTTTCTTTCACCCTATGCTCCTGTTACCTAGCAGTAAAATAGGTACCTGGGTGTTAGTCAGCTGTCACGGGCTGCTTCCTGGGGGTGGAGGCCTGGTCGAGGACCGGGCCGCGGGGACACTAAAGCCCCAAAATCATCTCAAGATTACCTCAAGATCACTCCAGCAGTTGCGTGATGCAAGACAATGCCTCCAATATTCAACACATCTCGCTATCACCAGCTACAAATCTGCTGTTATTACCGCATTCCTGTCACACAATCCCGAATGTAAATCCATTTCCATAAAGTTATACTGTGAAGGAACATAAGGTCGTTTTTATGATATGTAGATGCAGGAAACAACGGCTGGGTACTGTGAGTGCATACCTCATGCTGTGAATATCATAACTAGCATTGTATTCACTGATATTTAAATGTTGTACATAATCTTTATTACAGTCAGGATCATCTATGACACTATCAAGACAAAATAATTACCTACCTATTTTATTCATCATTATTAAGTGGTGCTGTGAGCTCCTGCTGCATCGGCCAGGCTTGGTCGCTCTCCCAGTAGTCAGAAACACAATCAAATCTGCTCATAGTAGGAAAGCAACATGTAAAGGATCTGGTAATAATGATCTCTGAAGACCTAACGTTTAGGGAGCATAACCAAGCAAATATTGGGTCAGCCAGAAAAATTATAGGTTGGTTTACGAGGCCCTTCAAATCTAGGGATCCCATCACAATGGTTGTACTGTTCAAATTACTGGTGCTTTTCCGTCTTGATTACTGGACGATGCTCACTTTCCCCTTCAGAGTGGGAGATATTGCTGAAATAGAGAAAATTCAGAGAACATATACAGCATACACACAGTACTTGATAAAGCACTTAAATTTTGGGGGACCGTCTCAAAGCTCTCCAAATGCACTCCCTAGAAAGGAGACGAGAGAGATTTCAAATATTATACACATAGCAAATACTGGAGGGCCAGGTCCCAAATCTACATAGTAAAATAACAACATTCTGTAGTGAATGCTATGGAAGAAAATGCAAAATAGAACCAGTAAAAAGCAGGGGTGCCATAGGCACAATCAGAGAACAATGTATAAACATCAGACGTCCACGGTTGTTCAACATGCTCCCAGCCAGTATAAGAAATATTGCAGGAACAAACATCTTCAAGAGAAAACTAGATACTGTACTGTACTTTTCTTGAAGTACCAGACCAACTGGGCCATGGTGGATATGTGGGCCTGCAGGCCAAGCTCTCACAAGCCAAGCCTGGCCTCAGGCTGGGCTTGTAGAACTCCCAACACTCCATCCAGCTGGTACCAAGGCTCTCGCAACCAGTATGGATGTTGATGATTTTTCTTTTTTCTTTTTTAAATATATCTTCTGTTTACTGGCATTGAGGCACAGGATGTAAGCCCCATGTACCTGTGGGAGTTATGAATCATTCCCTATTCCTAATGCCATATGGCATCGTGGCACTCCTATTCGGTGCTTTATGGCACTCTGTGCAGTACAGTAGTTAATTAACTAACTGGACGTTTTGACAAAATTGGTGTTTGCGACTAAAGAACACACATGGCGACTTGTATATTTTGAGTACACTACAGTTTTGTTGCACTTCACATAAGACACGGCTGTGGCCATAGTTGTTTATTTCTACTCGACTGTATAGATATTACTGTTGGTGATAGCCTTTGTAGCCTCACCAGATATAGAATTGTAACCTGTTACACTGGTCCCATAATTGTTGCAGCTCGGCTTCAAACAGGAAAGAAGGTTGCAATTAAGCATAGAGTGGAAAGAATACATGAACCTCATGACTGGTGGATTGGATGAATCTGTCCTGGTGGTCTTTAGTACATGTAACATCCCCAAGGGTGAAAGAGCATCTCGCTTCCAGTTCACATGTATACTCACATTAAATCGTTGCCTTTACCTACTTCAACTCAAATGAGTAATAAAGCCTGGGAGAAATTGAAGCTGTACCTGGCGCCTACTTACATGCATGCCCTTGTCACCCTAGTGCTAGGTTAAATCTGACTTGTCGGTGTTGACAGAAGATTCTCCTCTTCCCCTTCTAGGGTCGCAGAAGTGTCGATTCCCTCAGCTCGGTCAGGATTTTGCATTACTGAAGGTAATTAAAGTTCCTCCCTGACAATAAATGACTTAAATTTTTTATATGTATAGTTCTGATCATGGGGGGGGTCTAATTGCAAAGTTCACTGGCCCCTAGCATCTTAATGACTGTAAGGACCCCACCATCTTGATGTTAATATCCTACTCAATTGGCGGGTACCACTTCATGCACTGCGTCACTAAACTACCTGGTACTTCGTCTCGGTACTAATGGTTTCACCTGTAACAATAGTATCCAGAATGTCTCCATACTTTACTTGGCACTGCAGCTGCTATTTGCCAAGCATTCATCATTTTGATGAGAAATTGTGAAGGATGATAATGTGCATAATTAACATTATGCCTGTTTAGCAGGCCTCATCTAAAATTGTGAGAACAGTAAAAGAGTGGTTGGGTGTTTATGGACTGATGCACTGTTGTGCTCAGTACAAATGGAACAGACAGCTGTTCATCCCAGGTGGCTTTATCTTTGTCCACTAAAATAATAATATCTTTTAATTGACTTATATGGGTGATAAGTGGTAGCACTGTGATTGTTTCCAAGATTTTACATACTAACTGGAAGATTTTATTGACAAATTCTTGTCCTTTGTCAGCCGCTAGAAGTTTTGGAGGTCGGTATTCAGTTACAAATTTATTTGTTAGTTATGTATGTGTTGGCTACCATTTGCCGATTCTTTCATGGAAGGGGTACCAGACTGGCATACCCAGATGGAGACAGATGGTCCACTAACACTCGTGTGTATTGGTTATCTGAGGGGGCTATCATGCATGTCAATCAAGATGACTCCCACCTGATTCAGTGAGTTGAATATTTCTGGGAATTCCTGAAGTGGTGCTTGTACCTTGGGAATACCTTTGCTCATTTGACAGTTTATGCATGACTTCGCATATTTAATAATTTGGGAGAATAAGCTGGGGAAATAAAATGACTGCTTTAATATACATTTTGTACACACACCAAGGTGACCAGCTGTCTTTGACACTTACAATTACAAGTATCAACGCTAAAGTCATTCAATACGTATACTGTACCATCCTTCATTTCAAACTTATTGCAGTGTGTCCTTGCTTGAATGAACTCTATGAAATGAGTGCAATTCATTCCATAAGGGATTTCGTTAAACCTGTCAGACCCCCCCCCAGGCAACCCCTGACAGCTGGGTGGACAGTGCTTCGGATTCATAGTCCTGAGGTTCTGGTTTCGATCCCCGGTGGAGGCGAAGACAAGTGGGCAAAATGTTATTTCACCCTGATGCCCCCTGTTACCTAGCAGTAAATAGGTACCTGGGAGTTAGACCGCTGCTACAGGGTGTTTCCCGGGGATATGTAACAAAAAGGAGGCCTGGTCGAGGACCGGGCCGTGGGGACGCTAAGCCCCGAAATCATCTCAAGATAACCCCTCTCCTTGCCAGTAGGGGGGGGGGATCAATAGGCCTACATCCACTATAATGCATATAAAGTTTTGTGACTTTCCTTACTAGGAGACAAGTGTAATGAAATATCTGCATAAATAATCCTCAAGCACATTTAAATAAGTCGAATCTACCTATTCTGTATTTTATCATTCTGAATATTGTATGTAATAGAGCATTCATGGGCAAACAATTCCACGTCAGTTATAACTATATAACTTATTGGTGGGTGCAAACATTACATAATGATTAGGATTTATACAAACTTAAAAAAATGGATTTTTATTTGGCTATGGCATATGATAGCATGAAAATTTGCGAACAGTTTGGTATCAGAATTATATAAATGCGATCATTATTGAAACCAAACGGGTAAAATTATAGAATTTTGTCAGCAAAGTGGTGTGGGAGGAGGGAGGGAGGCATCCACCACAGTCTTCACAGTGGTGAAGCAGCAGCAGCGGCGTCTTGCTCGCTGCCATATGACGCCGGTGATTTGCTCGTTCCCTCGTCATACCACGAATCGACTGCACACGTTTTCATGCAATTTCCCTCAAATGAAAATTAAAATATTTATTACAATCTTCAGCATTTTGATTACTAATAAGAGAAGTTAAGTTAGTGCTATACTGTAATATGATAATTGACATCATTATTTCTGAGCAAGCCAACCAGCCAGCAATGGTGTTTAAACAAATGCATTATTATATATTTTTAAAATTGGGTGTGTGGTTTTAACACTTTCGCCTGGGCATGACGCAATGCTGCGTCGTCAGTTTACTGTCGGTAGTCCCGGGGATGACGCAATGCTGCGTCGTCCACTAAAATAATCGCCAAAAATCAGGTTTTTATCCGATTTTTGGGGGACTGGTTTTAAAATGCGCGCCCATCGTGATAGAGCAACCTCAGTGCAGCAAGTAACTGTCAACAAACTGAATGCAATCTTTGACTACAATACAAACATGAAAGGTGTTGATCACTTTGACCAAATGATCTAATATTATCACTTCACAAGGAAAACTCACAAATGGACGAGGAAAATGACCTTTTATTTTGTGCAAATGGCTATCTACAATGCTTATGTGATGTACAACTACTACACAACATTTAGAAGGACTCCACTAAACATATGTGGGCAGGAATTGGGAGTGTAGCTGGAAGGTGTCTGGGCGCTCACTCGCAGGTAATGCGTGGCCCGTCTTCAACTCGTCGGCGGGTGGAGTGTGACCAGGTTTTTTATTTTATATGCTAATATTCCTCTAGAGAATTTTATTGCGAACCCATTGATTCCAAAATGAAAGACCTAGGACGAAAATTGAGGTGACCAGAGTGAAAAGAGTGAACACATTTTATCGCTTTTGCGGGCTCCTGGGTAACTCGCTCGCAGTTTCTCTGTTTGCTGCGGGTAATTAGCCGGGCTTTTGGAGTTTATATGCATTTAGTGCTGTAGAGAATTCTATTGTGAACACAATGATACCAAATTTAATCTCGTAGGACGAGAATTGAGGTGACAAAGTTGAAGAGAGTATACACTTTTCAGAATTACCGCGCACTCCCGTGAAACGCTGGGACCCACATCACATAGTTGAGGGGTGGCGCGGCGGGTGCGTCAAAGTGTTAAGTTGCTATTGATGGACACTAATATTTGTATAATTGTCATATTTTATTTTTAATGTATGTGTATTAATATTTGGAGTTAAACTAAAATGTGCATTGACAGCTCTTGACCTGAGCTGATTATACTCTAGGACAGCACGGTTTCTTTTAAGTGTCATTGTTCGTTGATCTATATAAAACACAAAATATCGGTGGAATAGTATGGTTCAAAATACCTCATACTATTTTCTACTGCTAAAGCTGCATTGTCATTAGCTGAGTACCTTACTTCAGCCCATTCATTTTCGTACTGTATTATCCCATGCCAAATCATTGCAGCTGCCAACCCATGCATGACAGAGCTAGAGTACACAGGGGAATTGTGTGAAAATCCTGGTCCGGCTTCAGTGGAAGCCTTGGAAAACCCTCGTGAGCTCAGTAGAACTCAAGGTTGCTGTCCCTTTTTTACCATGTTGTGGCCTAGTTGACTAGGGCGTGTGTGTGGGAACACCCACCGCATGGGTTCGAACCCTCATCAGAACAATGTGGATTTTCGCTCTTGTTAAAGATACGGGGGTCTATAATTTAGAGGATTTTCTCGGCTACCTTTTTATAGATTGGAATTATGTTTGCCTTTTTTTCATATATCTGCTAAGATTCCAGTGTACAAGGATATCTGGAATATTAATTGGAATGGAATGCTCAGCTCAGTTGCACATTCTCCGAGTACCCAAGTTGAAACTCCATCTGGTCCAACTGCTTTATTTCTTCCTAGCCCCTAGAGTAATGTTTCCACTTCATCTTGAGATGCTTCTATATATTCTATGGTGTGCTCTGGCATTGGCATTGGGTCCAACTCTGAAATCCTCATTTTGTACAAACACCTTGGAACTGTTCATTTAGGAGTTTCACGCATTTCTATTTCATTCTTGGTGAACCTGTTCCCCATTCTAGAGCTCTGGATTTTATCCTTTACATGCAGCTTGCTTTTAGTGAATTTATATAAGGCATGGATCTGTTTTACATTTGCCTGCTATACCTTTCACAAAGTTCCTTTGTCTCTTTCTTCATTGCAGTGTATTTCTTTCTTGCTTGTAGTGCTGATATATTTGAGGGCTAGGCCTCTTCCTATAGTTTTTAAATTTTGCTCCGAGGAGCGAGTTTATTGGGCCGCGCCACTCATCCTGTGAGTTGTACCCATTTTCTTGTTTTTTCCTCTTTGGCTCTCACAATTTCAATTGAACCAATCTCGTTTTCTGGTTCTGCATCTCTGTTTTGGTAGGAATTTGTTTGTACCTTTATTGTATATTTCACAGAATTTGGTAAACATCTTATTTACTTCCTTGCAAATGTTTCCAATTAAATTTGTTAAAGAATTTGCTAAGTTCCCCATAGTGTCCTCTCTTGAAATAAAGTTTATCAACTGTTTCAATGTCCCCACTTTCTTCTAGATTTCACAGCCACACCTCAACCTTCCTAGTTTTCCTGTCACATCTCCAAACTAAGTAGCCTCATAGGAATAGGACCTCATTTAACCCTTAAGTTGCTAAGAGGTCCTGAGGAGATTTACACCCCTGTGCGCAAGAAAAAAATTATAAAAATTATTTCAGCTTCTAAAAATGTTAATTTGTGTTCCCTGAGCACAGGGAAAAATAATAAAAAAAATCGTAGGCGACAAATTTTGGGCGCAATAGGCCGAGGAAGTCTGGCAAAAAGTAGGCGTTGACAGAGCGGTCGTCAGAGCTGGTCAGCATCACCCAAGCTGACAGGTCGGAGTTGCCACAAAGATATTATTACCTAATTATTTCAATGTCTCCGATTTTTTCTTAGTTTTTTTTTTTTTCTTTTGCATATTATTAAATAGTGTGTATTGTGATATATTTATATAATATGTTCATAAAACAATAAACAAATAGTTTTGTTATTACATTATATACACAGGTTATATATAAGTATCTGCATGTTTTGTTCACCATAACGAACCACTAAGTTGGTATTGAGAGTCGAAAAGCAACGAGGAGTGACCGCCACTCGCTGCCACTTCCTCAACAACGCCTCACTCGCCCACTTTTTCCTTCACCATCCTGTTTTATGTTTTATTCAAAATATACAGATGTTATATATAAGAATCAACATGTTTTGTTCACTACAACTGTACAACTAAGCTGATATAGTTAGTTCAGGCACTAAGAGTCGTCGCTACACACAGTCAGTTGGCGGCTCCCTCACTCATTCAAGGTCACACGTACTAAACTTTCTCCCCCAACAATACTGTTTGCAGTGTTATTACACTATATACACATATTATATATAAGTATCTACATCTTGTATGCACCGTAACTGTACACCTAAACTTGTAGAGTGCCCAAAGAGCATAGTGGCCACCCTCTAAACAGCTAGACAAATTATGCAGACGACGTCACCTCCGTCACCCAAATGGCTCCTCCCAGCATAATCCTTTTGCTGTTATTACACTAATACACACATTATATATAAGTATCTACATTTGTGTTCACCATATTGAACCACTGAGCTGGTATGGTGAATGCAGACAACAACAGGTGGCCACACAGTCAGTAAACGATGCTATCTCCCTCTGTCTCTCAGCATCACTCCTCCCACAGCGCTAATTATTACAACAATCCTGCTATTATCACAACCCTGGTTATTTATATCAGTCATGGGTCATCTGTAATATTGTCATCGCTTAATAATAGCAATTATATATTTTGACATTTTTCGGCGATGGTGTGGTCACAAGCTGAACAGCAATGCTGTTAGCTCATGCTGCGTGCGCCAGCCTTGGTTGCTCCAACAGTACTGTGCCTCTCACACCTGAGAATATTGCCCACGATTTAAAAAAAAATGGCGTCTGTTTACAAGATCCCTGAGGAAGCTAATGTGAACCCCGTGTAGTCACGGGCCATTTGAATCGGACCTGGCACCCTATGGCGTATATATACGCCATGCGCACCGTGGGACATGTTACTCATGGCATATATATACACCATGCGCAGTTTAAGGGTTAATATTACCATATTTCAACTTTTTTTTTTTTTTTTTTGCCCTGTCGTAGCTGTCGATTAAGGCAGCATTAGGGATGCTCTCGGACATAGGTTCAAATCCTCATCATGGCCCTTGTGGATTTGTTCATTTGATGCATCACGCTATTGTGATTTCTGTGTGTAATGTATAATGTTGTGTTTATCGTGAGATAAGCGGGAATTATATTTTGAAGAACTTTTATTGTTATGCTTAGGCACCCGTTATAGCCTCGTCTGTCGGCTGAAGTTTAAATATCAAGTTGGTCTTCATAGTAGAAGCTACGATCTCTCCCTATGCAGTTCACCTATTATAAAGCACTCATAAAAGGTTCTCTAAGAAAGACATGCTTATAATCTGATTTATGCTAAAGAATTTTTTTTTTGTTTTTATTTACAGAAATAGCGAGAATCCCTTTACCAGCCCAGCTCCTCCTAGTGGACGTGTTGTGAAGAAAGCAGTCAGACGTAACCGGAAATAGTAATGCCGTGACTGTTGTTTTTACCGAATCGTGTCTTTAGATTTTTTTTTTATCTTTTTACCATAAATTATACTTTTATATGAAAACGATAACTGCTTCTGCTTAGGAAAGGTACATAATAAAAAAAATTATACACATTATTCCTGTAATATTTTATTTTGCCGAGTCTCATTTGCCATTTTCCCAGGTTAAAACGGATGTTTAATATAGTAAAGCCTCTAGCATTATTAATTTGTTTTATGTGTTACAGTTTGTGATATATGAAACTATGGTAAGGTAACAACTTATTATAATACTGTTAAAAGGGCTTTTTTTTTTAGTTTCATGAATTGCAAATATTGCTACAGATTTATTGTTGCATACACGCAGGTTCCTCATAAACTAGGAGAGAAACGCATTGGGAGTACAAGCATTTTTTTACCTGTGAACAAGAGTTAAGAAATGTCTAAAACATTAAAGTATGGGAAATTTAAGTTTTGTAAAATATATAAATATATATATATATATAAAAATCTGTAAACATGTTAAATAAAACCTCAGATAGGGCAACTTCCATGATCTCTTTGTCTGGACAAGTGGTTGACCTTGACTGTACATAAATAGGAGTCCACATCAGCATGTCTGGAGTTATCACAATTTCATTTTCATTGTATTGTGGTTTTAATAATGAAGGATCTCTTTGTATGTTGACATTGATCAGAAGAAAAAAAGGATATTTTGCTCATGACTATGAAATTGTGTAATATATATTGCACGGGGACATCCTTAAATATTTATGTAAAAACTTGTGAATTTGGAGCCTTACATTTGCCTCGACTGTGTAATTCATGATTTTGAATTTCATCCCTTGTGCCAAACGGATGATAACTATTTTTATGCACAAATCCTTGGATTATTGAGATAAGTCTTACTCTTTTATGCAATCAGTATTGTTATTTCACTCGAGAAGGGAATAACATTTACATTACACAGGAAGAAACTTGCTAATGGCTTCATCTTCACAAGGAACATGGTTTAGCTTTGGTTTATCAAAGGTTATATGAAAACTATCTTCAGTGCTATGAACATTCTTTGTACATATGGAGGGGCTTAGCCAGCCTCTCCAGTAATACTGTTTCACTGTTCCTTGTTAGAACATTGTTAAATATTTTATATGCCGTGTTCATATTGATGGACATGTTTTCATTAGGAATGTTCATAGTTCTCTTGTCGCACAGATCTATTCTGATGTCTTGCTATAAAATGGCTGTACATTTTTAAGAAATAAATAGTGCAGATGAATTTAGCATTTTATGTTTAGGTGTTTGCTATAGATGATTGGTGTTATGATCATTCTTGTTTAGTTTTTCATAATGGGTATTTTTCTTAATTGTTTTACTGGCATTGCCCCTTAACGTCAATCATCAACAGCATCCACTATGTGTAGTGTTGTTGCTCATGCCAGATGCAAGGCCTCTACGATATACGGCAGATGTGCGCTTCAATTAAATATGTAAGTGATGTAAATAGTATACCCAGGCAGGCTCACTCCTTATAATTGTACATGAACACTTCATTAGTGTGGTATATATGACGGACATGCTGCGTTATTGGGAAGCTACTGCCGTTACTACGTGCTTTGTGGTTGGTTGTGAGATGCCAAGCGTACCGCCCCGTGTATTGTCCTGTCTGTTGGATCCCTGAGAAGTTTATTATTGTAATTAGCCCTATCAATAATATTATTTTATATTAATGTGACTTTCACATGTACAAAGCCGTGAAGTGTGAGTGTGTGAAGGAGTTAGACTGCTCAGTGTATGTGTCTTCGGTTTTGCATTACTCAGTGTGAGTGAAATGTTCAATAAAGGAGCATTCAGTACTACAACACAAGTCTTTCAGTTTTCCTTTTTTGGTATGCAATTTCAAAATATCCATACAATTATATAATGGATTAATGAATTCTAAACATAATACAGCCTCTGCAGTAAATACATAGGCAACCCTGGTGGGGATATGTTGGGGTTTTATACTATTTTTTCAGTACATTTGTTGCCCCTTCATAAATGTCAACTTGACACTGTCAACTTGACACTTGACACCAATCAATGGGATGATTAGAATCCCTCACATGGCAGAAGAGAGCATTGTTAGTGTCTGCAGACATAACACTTCTCTTGTGTTCTTTAAGTCTGTCATTCAGTGTACGGCCAGTTTCGCCAAAGTATTGGAGAGGACAAGATGAACAGGAAATAGAGTAGACACCAGCAGCATTAGAAGCAGGAGGAGCAGTGTGAACTAGATTGCTACGAAGTGTGTTAGTTTGTCGAAAGGCGAGTTTAATGTCAAGAGGACGAAAGGTATTGGTAAAAGTTTTGAGTTCAGATATGAAGGGAAGGCATAGTACAGTGCTACTAGTGTTGGAAGCAGGTTTAGGATGAAAGAAATTTCGTTTAGCTTGAGAGTGGGCACAACACTAACACACTTCGTAGCAATCTAGTTCACACTGCTCCTCCTGCTTCTAATGCTGCTGGTGTCTACTCTATTTCCTGTTCATCTTGTCCTCTCCAATACTTTGGCGAAACTGGCCGTACACTGAATGACAGACTTAAAGAACACAAGAGAAGTGTTATGTCTGCAGACACTAACAATGCTCTCTTCTGCCATGTGAGGGATTCTAATCATCCCATTGATTGGTCTTCCTCCAAAATAATCTTTCCTGCCTCTACTCTACACAGACGCCGTCTTGTAGAATCGGCTCTTATTAACAATGTACCCAACATGAACTTGAGTCCTGGCTTTGTTGCCGGAGAGGATTTACTGGGCATCGATCCTTAACTGTAGCCTCTGATTACCCAACATTCGAGCACTTCCGGAGCAAGTGCTTCACTGACGACTTTTGTTCGAACCACAACGCTGTACTACAAATACCAATAATCGCCTACAGAACCTAAACACCTAACATAAACTATGCCTATATATGCATAATATGTTATACTGTATTATTAATTTATATTTGAAAAAATTCCTGTTTTGAATGAACAGCATGTACAAATTTATGAATGCGTCTGTGGGGTCGACCGCTGGATGTAATGGACTTGAGTCGAGGACGGGTTGCATAAACGGGGTTTGGCGGGTACATGGAATGGACTTTGGGTCTTTTCTTTGTTTAGAGAACGTGTTGGTTGAAGCTGTATTCACCATTCTGTGTCTAGAGTCCAAGTTGTAGAGACGTGCCTTGATTCGGCTAAATGAAACGTTTCAGGACTCAAAGTTCTCTATTGTTGACCAAACCACACTAGAAAGTGAAGGGACGACGACGTTTCGGTCCGTCCTGAACACGTCTCTACGTGTTCCTAACTTGCGTCCTACAGAAATACAAAGTCGTGTTTCCCGGTGTATTGGAAGAATAGAGGCACGTCATACATGTGTGGACATGACACTTTATCACGGGGAATTGTTTATGCTAACAAGAATAACAGACTGTTGTGTCAATAATAGAATTATAAGCCTAAAGTCAAGTTGCATTAATGAATAACTTAAATCTGTGTAAGTGTGCTTTGTTTTAACCATTCTAGTGTTCTACAATTTATTGCATGTGTCTGCAACTTTCTTGCTAGTCTTTATATATTTGGAAACGGTAACCAGATATATAAGCAAAGAACTTCCAGTAAATGTAGTCATGGACTTCACTGAAGCTTTTGACTAGGTACTGTACCACAGTACAGTACCTTGTCAGCTTTTGACACCTTGACACCTTTTACCCTGAAGCTTGTGACAAGGTACTGTGCTGTGGTACAGTACCTTGTCAAAAGCTTCAGCGAAGTCCATGACTACATTTACTGGAAGTCCTTTGCCTAAATTGTCAGCAGGTTTGTAAGACAGGATTTATTTTCAACAAAATCATGTAGTGTTGTTTTTTATTAGATTGTTCACGCTTACAGATATGCGAGGTCAGACTGATCTGAAGGTAATTTTCTGCTAAGCTCTTTCAGCATTTTTTTTTATTTAAATAAAGGGTGAAATTTGTATATTTCCAGTCTAGGGTACCTATTCCTTGGTCCCCGGGGCACATCCGATCCCACGATCGTCGTCGCCCCTAAATCAACACAACAACATATTTCTTGGTCCAGAGATGTTCTGAAAAGGTAGACATAGTTCAGGTACAAGTTCCTTAACGACTCTTGATCGAATTCCGTTCACACTTTGGGCTTTTGAGACTTTGTCAATGCTCAAAATGTCACGTTATGAGTATATCCCTTAATTCATTCTCTTCACCTCCTTCAAACATTTGTGTGGGTACTGGAATGTCTAATCTCTCTAGTGTGAACACTTATTCATTAAGAGTGTTGAATGTCCATTTATCGTCTATTGCAACTTGGTTAATCTCATCTTTTAAGAGTCCTGCCGAGATTTTGGCTTGACATTTATAAGAGAGCGGCCTTCAGCGCTACGAACATCTTGGTGTACTCACCTAGTTGTGCTTGCGGGGGTTGAGCTTTATCTCTAAGGTCCCGCCTCTCAACCGTCAATCGACTGGTGTACAGATTTCTGAGCCTACTGGTTGTTGTTGTTATAGATTCAGCTACTCGGAACAAGTTCCAAGTAGCACGGGCTATGGTGAGCCCGTAACTTACCTGGCACAGGAGCGGGGCAAGAAGCACGGGCTATGGTTAGCCTCCTCGAGCCTACTGGGCTCTATCATACATATATTTGAAACTGTGTATGGAGTCAGCCTACACCACATCACTTCCTAGTGCATTCCATTTATTAACTACTCTGATACTGAAAAAAATCTTTCTAACGTCTCTGTGGCTCATCTGGGTACTAAGTTTCCACCAACAGAAACTAAGTGATCACAGTGTGGACGGTTTCATAGCCTCCATCAGGAGCGTCGGCAGGATGCAGACATACCTGGTCTTGTCCGTCGTGATCTCGTGATAATGGAAGATGGCCTCTATATGAATACATCATAACTGGGTGGACCAGGCTGTACACCGGGACTCTGCTATAGCGCTCCATATTATGGTTTTGACCGTCTCTGTCAGGACTGGGTATTTTGTCTCTTTGGGTCACCAATTTATTTATTTACATACACGAAGGTACATTGGGATTGTGAGAGTACATCACATTGTTCTTACATTCTTGCAAAGCCACTAACACGCATAGCGTTTCGGACAGGTCCTTAATCTAACAGATAAGGTCAAATTATTAAAAGGTACATAATAGCAAAATTTGACTTCAGCATAATAACTACAGTATAAATTGATGGGGATTATTACACTGGTGAAGTTGCAAGTACCTACATTGGGGAAGTGGGTAGCACAAGATAGGGAAACTATAAGGATAAAATTAGGTACTTTTTACATTTACTTTTGAAACAGCCATAGGTTAGACAATTTGTTAATTCATTTGGGAAAGTTCCATAGACAGGGTCATTTTATTTGCATGGAGTATTTGCACAGATTTAGTCTGACACTTGGGGGATATCAAAAAGATATTTATTTTTCTGGTGTGGTGCTCATGGGTTCTATTACATCTATCAAGGAAGAGTTTCATATCAGGATAAGCATTTAGGAACTTATTTAATGTGGTCTTTGGTCGTGTAACATCTTAGTGTCTCTGGGCCTGGGGATCGTTATACCATTGATAAAGATTAAGCCACCCGAAAGGTGGCACGGGCATGAATAGTCCGTAAGTGGTGGCTCTTTGGAGCCATTACCAGTACCAACAGCTGATACTGGAGATGTGTGGATGGATGGGGTGTTCATGGTCAGCATGGGTCTTGGCCGCCAGGTTGCACCTTAATGATTGGTGAAGATTAAACCACCCAAGTGATGGCACGGGCATAAATAGTCCGTAATGCAACTTAATGTGCAAGGCGACGCTTTATATCTGAACAGTACAAACTCGGTAGTTCGGTACCATCAAGATCGTCGTCCTTTTCGAGGAATTCCATTTGTCCGTCTGGGAATTTGCGGTGGAATTCTGAGTCGAAAATAGAATTGCGCCCAGTAAATCCTCCCCGGCCAGTATACGAACCCATGACATAGCGCTCGTGGAACGCCAGGCGAGTGTCTTACCACTACACCACGGAGACTATGAAAGCAAAGGAGCTGAACAAAAGGGCATGGAGGAACTTCCGTAATAACAGAACACCAGAAAGTAGAGAGAGATACCAGAGAACCAGGAACGAGTACGTCAGTGTGAGAAGAGCAGCTGAGAAAAGGTATGAAAATGATATAGCTAATAAAGCCAAGACCGAACCAAAGCTACTACACAGTCACATCAGGAGGAAGACAACAGTGAAGGAACAGGTGATGAAACTTAGGGTGGGCGAGGACAAGCACACAGAGAATGACAAAGAGGTGTGTGAAGAACTCAACAAAAGGTTCCAGGAGGTCTTTACAATAGAACAGGGAGATGTCACGGCGCTAAAAGAGGTGGCAGCAAACCAGGTGACCTTGGATAGGTTCGAAATTACAAGAGATGAGGTCAAGAAGCACCTATTGGAGCTGGATCTGGAAGTGGCTTTAGGCATTGTATGTACTAGCTCTATCTATATATCAATCCATTAATGTAACATCACTTGTATGTATATACCTTACCTGAATAAACATCTGAATCTGAATCTGAATCTGAATCTGGATGTGAGAAAAGCTGTTGGGCCGGACGGAATCTCGCCATGGGTATTGAAAGAGTGTGCATGAGCACTTTGCTTACCACTCTCTCATAGTGTATAGTAGGTCACTGGAAACGGGGGACCTACCAGAAATATGGAAGACTACTAATGTAGTACCAATATACAAAAAGGGTGACAGACAAGAGGCACTGAACTACAGGCCAGTGTCCTTAACTTGTATACCATGCAAGGTGATGGAGAAGATTGTGAGAAAAAAACTAGTAACACATCTGGAGAGAAGAGACTTCGTGACAACCCATCAACATGGGTTCAGGGAGGGTAAATCTTGCCTTACAGGCTTGATAGAATTCTACGATCAGGTGACAAAGATTAAGCAAGAAAGAGAAGGGTGGGCGGAGTGCATTTTTTTGGACTGTCGGAAAGCCTTTGACACAGTACCCCATAAAAGGTTGATGCATAAGCTAGAGAAACAGGCAGGAGTAACTGGTAGGGCGCTCCAGTGGATAAGGGAGTACCTAAGCAATAGGAAGCAAAGAGTTACAGTGAGGGGTGAGACCTCAGACTGGCGTGAAGTCACCAGTGGAGTCCCACAGGGCTCTGTACTTGGACCTATCCTGTTTCTGATATACGTAAATGATCTTCCAGAGGGTATAGGCTCATTCCTCTCAATGTTTGCTGACGAGCCAAAATTATGAGAAGGATCAAGACAGAGGAGGACAGCTTGAGGCTTCAAGAAGACCTGGACAAGCTGCAGGAATGGTCGAACAAATGGCTGTTAGAGTTTAACCCAAGCAAATGTAATGTAATGAAGATAGGGGTAGGAAGCAGGAGACCAGATACAAGGTACCATTTGGGAGATGAAATATTTCAAGAGTCAGAGAGAGAGAAAGATCTGGGGTTGATATCACGTCAGACCTGTCCCCTGAAGCTCATATCAAGAGGATAACATCAGCAGCATATGCCTGGTTGGCTAACATAAGAACGGCCTTTAGAAACTTGTGTAAGGAATCTTTCAGAACATTATATACCACATATGTCAGACCAATCCTGGAGTATGCGGCTCCAGCATGGAGTCCATATCTAGTCAAGCATAAGACTAAACTGGAAAAGGTTCAAAGGTTTGCCACCAGACTAGTACCCGAGCTGAGAGGTATGAGCTACGAGGAGAGACTACGGGAATTAAACCTCACTTCGTTGGAAGACAGAAGAGTTAGGGGGGGACATGATCACCACATTTAAGATTCTCAAGGGAATCGACAGGGTTGATAAAGACAGGCTGTTTAACACAAGGGGCACATGCACTAGGGGACACAGGTGGAAACTGAGTGCCCACATGAGCCACAGAGATATTAGAAAGAACTTTTTTAGTGTCAGAGTGGTTGACAAATGGAATGCATTAGGAAGCGATGTGGTGGAGGCTGACTCCATACACAGTTTCAAGTGTAGATATGATAGAGCCCAGTAGGCTCAGGAACCTGTACACCTGTTGATTGACGGTTGAGAGGCGGGACCAAAGAGCCAGAGCTCATCCCCGGCAAGCACAACTAGGTGAGTACATTCTTGTAAAGCCACTAGTACGCGCAGCGTTTCGGGCAGGTCCTTAATCTAAGAAACTTATAAGTAGGTAAATACTTGCAAAATTTATAAAAATTATAACAGTTACATAGCATGAAAAAGATAAAAGATGAGAGAAAAATTGTAGGTATATTAAAGCACATAGGTAGCTCAGAATGATTGCTATGACAGCTTGAATGGTAGTTTAACAAAACTTAGCAGGCACAATACAGCATATGGCTAGCACATAAAAGAAGACAGCAATGAACACAATGATATGCGTATTAGTGGCTTTAGGTATTGTATGTACGTACTAGCTCTCTCTATAAATCCAACATTGCTTGTAACTTCATCTATGTATGTACGAATAAAAAAATTAATTTAATTTAATCTAATTTGATTAATTCGCCTTTGTATTCTATAATAGTGTGGTTTTGACAATAGAGATTGGGATACTTAGGTCTAGTTCAAGTTCATACATGTTATACGCACCATTAGCTGCCTTGTCTGTATCATTATGATGAATAATACATATGTATATTTACTTAATGTCATACAGAATTGTAATATTTTAACTTATCCTACACAGCCAACATACCCTGAACAGTGATGTCAGACGTATGATCATGGACATAAAATACAACTAAAAAAAAAAAAATTGTTGAATTTAACGATACTTAGACGGATATAGAGAAACAGTGTGTGAGTAACGTAGCACAAGAGTGCATTGATTAATAAATTAGTGTATGAGGGTTGTATGAGAGTTGTATGAGGGTGAGAGCGGCAGCGGGTGGTGGGAGAGTCAGCTGGTGACCGTCATGGTGGAGGGTGGCTGTCCCTAGGCTCTTGTGGGGGCCCCACCATCTCTCTCTCTCTCTCTCACCGCCTTCCCCTCTCCTTATACCGCCATGGCAGCTACACGGCCAGGAGTCAAGGACCGCATAGTGCATGAAATTGGCAGAGCCATTAAGCAGGTAATGGCAAAAATGTCTTTGTGGCGGCGAGGTGTGGCGAAATGTGTCGGCCAACGGGGGGGAAATTGATTTCTGCCTCCTTCCCTCCCCCGTAGTGTGAGGTAGTGTGAGGCGAGCCTTGTAGGGGTGAGGTGACTGTGTGGTGACCCCGCCAGTGTGAGGCGTGACCCCTCTGACCCCCGGATACTGTGTGACACAAGGAAGTGCCGGGAGCCACCACTCATCGATCGGTGACCCCCAAGAGTCTCGGCACGCGCTATGTCAACAAAGGCGCTCATGTCAACAAAGGCGCTCATGTCAACAAAGGCGCGCATGTCAACAAAGCAGCATGCACCCCTCTTCTACTCCCACAGTGAGCTGCCACAGCACTCACTGTGGGTGGTGGTGGGCCCCATTGGGTGGGAGCTGTGGGGTGGTCATATTGACACACTCAGCTGGTAGGTCGTTGGTCTCATCAATAACCTCTAGTGCAGCCAAATATCACACGCACTCCAAGATCTCCAGGTATGACATGTTCAGATCTCTGTGCACACACACACACACGTGACACTGGGAGCACCACACGTGACTGTGGTGCAGGGAATATCCTCATAAAGCTCTACAATGTTTCACTGTGGGGGTGTGAAGAGTATGAACTATCCTGGGTGCCACTTACAAATTAAATGACATTTATAATTACTGGGTAAATATGATCACCACCTTGGCTAAACTTGCTGGGTAGGGCGGGGACAAATTAGGAACTCACTGATCATATTCCTATAAAACTCTACATAGTATCTGAGGGCACTATTTTTCTTGCATTGTGTGTGTGTGTGTGTGTGTGTGTGTGTGTGTGTGTGTGTGTGTGTGTTTACTAGTTGTGTTTACTAGTTGTGTTTACTAGTTGTGTTTACTAGTTGTGTTTACTAGTTGTGTTTTTGCGGGGGTTGAGCTTTGCTCTTTCGGCCCGCCTCTCAACTGCCAATCAACTGTTTACTAACTACTTTTTTTTTTTTTTCCACACCACACACACACACACACCCCAGGAAGCAGCCCGTGACAGCTGACTAACTCCCAGGTACCTATTTACTGCTAGGTAACAGGGGCACTTAGGGTGAAAGAAACTTTGCCCATTTGTTTCTGCCTCGTGCGGGAATCGAACCCGCGCCACAGAATTACGAATCCTGCGCGCTATCCACCAGGCTACGAGGCCCCCTGTGTGTGTGTGTGTGTGTGTGTGTGTGTGTGTGTGTGTGTGTGTGTGTGTGTGTGTGTGTGTGTGTGTGTGTGTGGGGGGGGGGGGCACTATCTCTTGCATCACCTGTGTCTCAGCCACAGGATACCATGCTGGCAAGGGTGCAAGTGAGGCATTTAAATACATTCGTTAATGCTAGATGCGATTGAGAAAAGAGGAGTTGCAGTGGTATGTGGGGGGGATGTGCCGAGATTCACATCACTCACTACTCGGCCACTCACATTCAACCACTCACCACACAGGTGATGAGTGGTTTTCAAGGGCAATTAGGCTAAATTGTCAACTTTTAAAAAGCATAATTTTTGGTTTTGAAATACCATTCATTATGAACTGTGGGAATTGTTCATTGACCAGAGCTCTTATGTGAGGGACTGCGAGCACTTGCCCAGAGATAATGTGCTGAAATTAGCAGACTTGGATGTATTAGTAGCACTTAAAGCCGTTAGTCTAAGAGGTCTGGGTGTGAACAATCGAAAAGTATTATAGGACAGTATCTAAACAGGACACAAAAATGGAAATGAAAATACTGTACCCAGTAGTGAAAAAATTAAAAGTCTGGTTCAAAGAATTTGAGGTGGACATGGGCATCAGCACTAAAGACAAATACTACAAAAACAGTAGGAGTATTAGAAACGAAGTAGATGATATAAGGGCTCTTGTGTGCACAGAAACAAGAGATATGATTGCACTAACTGAAACTTTAATGAATATAGAAAATGGGTACAGTAATTATTAGACAATTACCAAATTAATAAAAAGTTTCTCACTACCAGAGTTGGACCTATACTAACAAGTGAAGGTTCGTACACAAGAGGATGACAAGGAAATTAGTGAAATGCTAAAACACCAGTACGAGTTTGTTTAGCATCCAATTAAACATAAAAAGTTGAAGATCCAGACAGCCTTTTTATGAATGATACCAAAATGCTGTGTGTTAGTGGCTTTGCATGAATGTAAAAATACCAAGCTTATGTAATCTCACCAGCCTATTGTACCTTCTTGCACATAAATTATTATTATTATTATCCAAACTGCTGACAATATAAGATACCAACATGAACACAGAAGACTTTGAAAGAGAAATTGACAATGTGTCCATGCACTCAACCCTGGGTCTTGACTCCTGGAATTCAATGTTCATAAAGGAATGTAAATTACCAGTAGCATGAGCCCTCAGTGTAGTATAGAGAAAATGTCCTGGATACAGGAAAGATTCCAGAAATACTTAAATCGGCAGATAAAGCTGCACTACACCAAGGAGGTAGCAAAGTTTTGCCCCCCCCCCCCATCTCCAATTTTATAGAAAAAAGGAACTTAAAGTCTTCATGGATTTATAATCCACTGTATTGGGGGACAAGCAACCAGTTTATACATACAGTAAATGTTAGGCTTATATTGAGGCCCCCTGCTATGATTGAATTACTGACCCTCCCCCCCCTCCCCCCAAGATGCAAACCCACAACAAGCTGACTAACTCCTGGCTATTTACTGCCGAGTGATCAGGTTCATTAGGTGATGGGAAACGTGCCCAACCATTTTTTTTTTTTTTTTTTGTTACATGGGGTGGGTACAGGAACAGATGACTGCTGACTCCTGTAAGCATGCTAAGAGCTTTTCCTTCCCCATAGCTCATGGTAAGCCTTACCCAGAACAAACATGGACATTTTCAAAAGAAAACTGGATAGTTTTCTTCAAGGAGTGCTAGACTAACCGGGCTTTAGTGGATATGTGGGCCTGCGGACCGCAACAAGCATCAGCCTGTTGGACCAAGCTCTCTCAAGTCAAGCCAGGTCCCAGGCTTGGCTTGGGGAGTAAAACTACTCCTATAACCCCGTTCATGAACAATCCAGGTACCCACTACTTTTTCTTTGAATATGACTCGCCAAGCGTTAAACATCTAGGTACCGAATCACTGCTGGATGAATAGAGGCATACAGTTAATTAATGGCACCTAGTCAATTCTCCCCAGCCAGGATGTGAACCCAGGCTAAATTGTTTGCGATGCACAGGGCAAGTGTGTTACCACTGCACCAAGGTGACTGTCACTCGGGATTCTAACCCAGAATTTTTGATTGAGTTGAATGAACCTGATCGTACTACCAGGACCCTAAACAGATCAGAATTAAAGATTTAGAGCAGGAAGATCCTGTCTATTGCAATTACTCAATCATTGACAAAATCAAGTAGGCATTAAAAATAAAAACAAAATGAAGATGTTGCACAAACTCTGCAAAGGCATTTGGTAAGTGGGACCATGGAATGATAACTCATAAAATGAAATCAGCAGGAATAATGGGTAAAGTGGGGCATTGGATTTTCAATTTTCCATCAAACAGAATGCAAAGAGTAAGTCAGTCAAATAAAATTAAGTCCAAGTGCAGTGAAAAACTGTCTCCCAGGGCACAGTCCTTGCACCACTGCTCTCTCATTCTTGTATCAGATATATACAAAAATACTAGTCACAGCTTTGTGTCATCCTTTGCAAATGATACAAATATCAACATGAAAATTTGGTTGGTAGAAGATGCTAAAAAATTACATACTAATATTAATTAAGTATTCAATTGGGCAATGGAAAATAACATGATGTTTAACAGTGATAAGCTGAACTTTAAAATCCAGCTTGAAAAAATCATGGACAAATTGAGGACCATTGACAAGCAGCCGGCTTCCTAAGCAGTATTAGTGGCCCCTCGGGTACATACAGGTATGGTGGAAATGAGGAACTTAGACAAAGTACAGGATACAAGACACAGTTCAATTATTAATGCAATAATAATTCTCAGCAATGATAAGGCAGCTAGTGCCTTTCACTATCTGTTCAAGGGCTTTCCCTTCATCCTTCAATCTCTTGATCACAACTCCATTCACACAACCAAATTTTTGTTAAGCACTGCTCTGAATGCACTAGATTTTTTAAATTATTTTTTTTAGTGTAATGTTTCATACATGTTATTTTTTCTTAATTTTTTATCAGAAATAACACTTAAAGTAATTCATCATGGCAAACGATATTACTCTCCTAGTTGTGCTTGCGGGGGTTGAACTTCGGCTCTTTGGTCCTGCCTTTCAGCTGTCAATCAACTGGTTTACAGGTTCCCGAGCCTATTGGACTCTTATATCTACATTTGAAACTGGATATGGAGTCTATTTTGCACCATATTACTGCATAGTGCATTCCATTTGTTAACTGCCCTGACACTGAATTTTCTTTTAATGTTTCTAAAAATGCTTTCTAATGTCTCTAAGAGTTTCTAGCGTAGTTAATAAAGTCAATATGTACAGTACTGTGCTGTGTGTGTGTTTTATAGAGAGTAATTGATGTTGCTTGCCTGCTCAACAGATACTGTGTATTTTCAGGGTCAGACTTCTGCTCCTTGTTTGTAGTACACATACACACTGTCACTATTATAAATGTAAAGGCACTTTTGTGTTACAAATTCTGAGAGGTGGTGGTATTGTAACACTAGTCATCAGTACCCAGTGATATGTTCTCTTGCTAGGTGTACTGTTGTTTTTGATAACTGTAGGTAATGAATGTGTGGGGCCACTTGGAAAACATTCCCGGGTTTATTTCTATTAGTGACACTATCTTGAGGTTACCTTGATGATTTCGGGGCTTTAGTGTCCCCGCGGCCCGGTCCTTGACCAGGCCTCCCCCCCCAGGAAGCAGCCCGTGACAGCTGACTAACTTCCAGGTACCTATTTACTGCTAAGTAACAGGGGCATCAGGGTGAAAGAAACTGCCCATTGTTTTTCGCCGGCG